GTCCTGACGATTGGTCTGTACCTGCTTGGCCGGTGACCAGACGTGTTGATACACAGCAACCAGGTTGATGCGGGCCCCGTGCCAGTCAAACCTGACCTCCAGGGCTCTGCCTATGACATGTTCCTGCCAGCGCACACTTTTGGGCAGTATGTGTGGGGACAGGAAAACCATAACCCCGTCCGCGCGAGTTGTTGAGGGCTCCTTGCGGGGTGGGGTCATCTTATCGTCATTAGGCATTGCCTCTGCAGGTGACTGTTTATGGGCCTTGCCCCCGCGTTGCTTTCGTCTAGAGGCCTTCGGATCTGCAGCAGAAGCAGACGAGATGCAGTACCAGCCTGCAACACTAAATTCGGCCGTAGCCTGCCAGTGGGTCTCCTGCAGGACGAACACATCACAGGTGTGGTGTGCCTCAGTGGAGAGCCATGATTTGACTTCCGACCATTGTTGCTGGCCAAGATGGCCTGCATTCCAGGACAGTACTCGGAGAGGCCTGGTGGCCTGTCCTGCCCGAGATCGTGGTGCAAAAGACTGCTTGGAGCCCGGCTGCGGTGGGCAGTTGCCCATGCGCCTGAGAAGAGCTGGGGTCAGAACCTGACCTCGGTAAGAAACAGGCTGCTGGCTTGCAGCCACCTGTCGGCAAACATGCTTGAAAGAATTCTTCCTGATCTGAGAATAATTTTGTGAGTGCACTGGGAGCAGCGCCATCCGCTATTTCGTCACAAGGCAAGCCGAGTGACTCCCTCCACCACGCGGCTAGTGGAAACCCTACCGCCTGCCCAGTGGGCCCGTGTTGAGACAGGGTACTGGGTCCAGGAATTGGGACCTGGCGGCTCAGACGCAAACTGTTGGCACATGGCACATGGCTCAGCGTGAGGAACCAACCCTTAGTCGTTCGGAGAGAGGCCTGTTTGAGACCTCTAGCAACGCAAGGTTGGAATCCAGAGCCTGTTCGAAAGCCAGCGCGAAACTTCCAAAACGTCTGAGCCGTGGCGGCTACTACTACTACTACTACTACTACTACTACTACTACTACTACTCTACTACTACTACTTCTACTACTATTACTACCACTACTACTACTACTACTACTACTACTACTACTACTACTACTACTACTACTACTACTACTACTTCTCCTACTACTTCTACTACTTCTACTACTATTATTACCACTACCACTACCACTACTACTACTACTACTACTACTACTACTACTACTACTACTACTACTACTGCTACTGCTACTGCTACTACTACTACTACTACTACAACTTCTTCTTCTTCTACTACTACTACTACTACTCCTACTCCTACTCCTACTCCCTACTCTACTAGGACTACTACTACTATACTACTACTACTACTACTACTACTACTACTACTACTACTACTACTACTACTACCACTACCACTACCACTACCACTACTACTACCACTACTACTACTACTACTACTACTACTACTCCTGCTCCTGCTCCTGCTCCTGCTCCTGCTCCTGCTCCTGCTCCTGCTCCTGCTCCTGCTCCTGCTACTGCTACTGCTACTGCTACTGCTGCTGCTACTGCTGCTGCTACTACTACTACCACCACCACTACTACTACGATGACGACTAGTACTTACTGCTACAACTGTTGCCACGACTGTTGCGATTGCAACTGCTTCGATTACACGCCCCCAGTCGCGCTAGCGACTGCAAGAATGAACTTCGTATATGTTGAAGCATGCTGAAGCCGCCATCGTCGCCCCATCAGCTGCAAGCTAATCATCATGGCTTTCACCATCATCATCGTGTCAGTAGCTGCGAGTACTTCTCTGTCAGATCATACGTACTTCATCGATAGCAGTAATTTCACGCTAGTAGCCGCAGCAACACCAGCAGCCAGCAGCAACCAGGACACTTACTGAACGCGCTCACGTGCGTGACGATGACAGTGACCTCGCTTTGAGTGCTTTCGGTAACGTCTTGATAAAGAACTCGGGCTTAGGAACATGTTACATGTTGTGAAAGATTAGGTTGGGACGTCTGACCAGATTGATAAGAAGGCAGGAGGTATGTCACAAATTAGAGAAAAATCGCAATGCTACCACAACCTTCTTAGGACGACATAGAAGACAAGGAGGTAATGATGATAAGAACACATAGACTGCCCAGAGAAGTAAGGGCATGATTGTTTAGCATGCTTAATCTGCGGGGTGGATCGGAAGAACGGCTCGGACATACAAGTGACAAGGTCTCTGACGGACATCCTTGACCTGGCAGCCGGCTTCGCCATGGTGCCTCTGCGCGAAAGTTGAGACATCTCCCGCTCCTGTTACTGCCAAGTGCCACCGAGGCTGCTGGTGCTTGCAGCTGCTGTTGCAACTGCTGCTCCTACTAGTGCTAAGTCCTACTACCTGCCACTTGCCACCGCTACCACTACTGCGCCACTGCCAGCGCTGCTGCTGCTGCTGCTGCTATTACTGCAGCTACTACTGCTACTAGTAGCAGTAGCAGCAACAACAGTAGCAGCAGCAGTAGCAGTAACAGTAGCAGTAACAGTAGCAGTAACAGTAGCAGTAAGAGTAGTAGTAGTAGTAGTAGTAGTAGTAGTAGTAGTAGTAGTAGTAGTAGTAGTAGTAGTAGTAGTAGTAGTAGTAGTAGTGGTAGTACCGTAGTAGTAAGTAGTAGCAGTAGTAGTAGTAGTAGTAGTAGTAGGAGCAGCAGCAGGAGGAGTCGTAGTAGTAGTAGCAGCATAAGTAGGAGTAGTAGTAGTAGCAGCAGTAGTAGCAGTAGCAGCAGCAGCAGCAGGAGTAGTAGTAGTAGTAGTAGTAGTAGTAGTAGTAGTAGTAGTAGTAGTAGTGGTAGTGGTAGTAGTAGTAGTAGTAGTAGTAGTAGGAGCAGCAGCAGGAATAGTAGTAGTAGCAGCAGTAGTAGGAGCAGCAGCAGGAATAGTAGTAGTAGCAGCAGTAGTAGTAGCAGTAGTAGCAGTAGCAGTAGTAGTAGTAGTAGTAGCAGCAGCAGTAGCAGGAGTAGTCGTCGTAGTAGTAGTCTACTACTATACTACTGCTGCTACTTCCACTGCTACTCCTCCTTCTTCTGCTGCTACGCTGCTACCGCCCATCACCACCTGCACTGCCAGCTTCTTCAGAACAACCAGCAGCACCGCCGCATCTACGCGACGTCACCGACTCACGAAGAACCGAACTATATTTTTGGCAGCATATGTCTGCCGGGTCATCTCTGTCAAGACACTGCGTCCTTGATGCCATGAGGTGTGCTGTGGTATCTTGAACCTGCTCATCCATTTCGGAGGCGCCTGAAGTACCATCTCCAGAGTTCGCAGACAAAACCAAGCTTTGCAGGGATTTCCGGCAGCATCGGTTCCGTTGCAGCCAGGCTTTGCAACCTTCGCCCAGAAGGTGAAAGCGGGATACAGTGCTGTGGGCGGCCAATGAGCCCTGGTAGCTAGAGTGAGTAGCCGGAGGATTTTCTTCTTCGAGGGTAAGGACATCCAGTCGTGGCCAAGCTCCACTCTGTTTTCACTGGACTTGCTACGACATTACGACATGCCACGTTCCTACCCTCAACGCCCTCCCCCTGAACCCGTCGATGCCGGGCAGGACGTGGACTCTTACCCTTTGACGTAGACACAACGTACACAGGGGTGCAATCGTCTCATCTTTTAGCCTTGTTGGTTTTCTCCTCATAACGTGTTGTCGAAAGATCTGCTGTAGAAGGTCAGTTTCGGGTGGCTTGAATATGAGCAGTGGAACCCCGAGACATTTTCGCGATTTCACTTTCACCGATGCCTCCTTGCTGAACGAGCAAGCGATTTGTTACCACGATCGAAGGTTTGCTTCATGACTGTCGCAGCCCATACGACACCGAAACCAAGCTTTCCAGATGCTGCCGTCGATTATTTGGAAGACGCAAGTTGACATAAGAGTTACTTAGGTGGAGGCCCATGTTCGGGACTTGCCAGCTGCAGCAAAGTCGCAGCTCGCAGTTCAAAGAATTGCAATGCCTCTTTTCAACATAGAGCGGCTGTGATAAAGCGCCTCTTCCGGTTCTGAGCTTCACGACAAGACCTGGGTCGGAGCCTTCCGGAAATCAGTTGAGCCAAAGTGCAAAGAGGAGCTGCTCGACTCCACCACCGCCAGCTCCACCGGCGAGGCCTAAGATTTTGACATCTTGAGTAGGGCTTCGGGCTTAAATTCAGAGCTTCTTGATCTGTCGAGGCTGAAAGTCTTTTTTTGTTTGTGCGCTTCTGGGAGAACGTGGAGAGCAGATCTGCGTCTTCGGCCTTGCCATCTGAGCTTCGATGCTACCTTGAAGTACGGTTTCCTCCTAGTCCTAGACCCTGTGGGTGTGAGCTGGTACAAAGCCCGTGAATTCCGTGAGCCCGGTCCTGTCGGCAGGTGGAGCAAGCACACCTCAGCAGCACGAACGAGCTGCTGACGCCCGGGCCTCAGTGTTGGGCCGGGGGTACAAGGTTGAGGCCTTTCAGACGTTGGACCGGGAAGAAAACGTAAACTTCGGACACCTCCCACCCATAGCCACACCAAGCCTGGCTCAAGAGGGTTGCGAATCAGCAGGCCTGCTCCATTCCTCTTAGGACTTTCGGTGGCGACGACGAGTTCTCCTTCGTGAACCAGTCGAGCCCAAAGGATCTTCGATCTCAGCTCCGGGGCTTTTGGGGTTTTGAAGCTCAAGCTTGAAGCCTGTTGTGCCATCGACGGCCCGGGCTTCCTTTTGCTAAGCAGGAGCTGGAGACACCTCCGACGAAACCGGTCCAGAAGCTGGAGGTGCCAAGAGTTGGGGTAGTTGTTGGGCTTAGGGCTGTGTCTCGTACGGCAGTGTGGGACTTGGAGTGTAGGGTCACTGAACCCTTTACATTGCCGTTGAGCTCTCTTTTCGACAGGTTCCGGCATGCTCCCAGCGTGCGGCCTTCAAGGAGAAGGTGTTCTCCTTCGGGGCCCAGGACGGTCCTTTAAGGCTGCAGGCTTGAGGACCTGGAGTCATGGCAGAGCAGTGTAGCCCAACTGTGAAGCTCGTCTATGCCTCTCTGAATCCCCCTATACAGGTACTCTCTTATCAGAGGCAAGAGGTCTCATACGCAAATAAGCACCCCAGAGACAGCACACGAAAGCCTCACCCCCTCCTCCTCCATGGAATCCTCAGCCCAAAGCCGCGGCGGAGCCTTTCACCTCGGGAGGATGAGCCTGGTTTTGTCCACACCTTGGAGACGAAACTCACTGCCGACCTGCAGGCAAAGTCTGAGTCATTTCGCCTTCTCGTCTCCTGTCTCAGGAGTACGAGGAGGGTATCACAACGATATTCATGGTCGTGATCCGAGACTATGAGCGTCACATTTATCGTGCTTTCTGGCGGGCGCAGGCCTCTGCTCCGGTCAGAAAGGACGACCCCTTTGAGATTCGGAAGCCCAGTGCGCCCACCGAGCTCGGGTTGCTTGGGTGTCGCGGACTTGAGGAGTGGGGTTCAGGGCATTGGGCTTCGGGGGCTGTGTCCTAGAGTGTATGGGGCCTCCCGACTTCAGGCATATCTGAGCCTGGGAATCTCGCTGAATCTATGGAGCGGTTGGGGCTTGATTTTGAGGATCGTGGCACAAGATCGCAAACGTATGCCAGGAGCCTCATCGTTACGTTCAGGTCTTGGGATTTTGGACGTATGGATATCTGCTAGACGATCCACTCATGTGAAGAGTTTGGTGTTTCGGTTTATGTTTCACGCCTGTGCACTCAGGCCGGTATGCAGATGGCCCAACGCCGGTCAAGGCTGGGGTCTATAAGGGCAGAGTCCTCCAAGGCTCTTGGTACCTTAAGCGAGGTCTACCGCATGAGTGGGGGGGTCTCGATGACTTCGTTTGGGTGCTTTTCTTGGACAGCTGCCAAGAGCCAGAAGGCGCTGCTATCCGTCAGCGGATCCCCCCTGAGCCCGAGTCTTTCAGCCCTGAAAGGAGGGCTCGGCCGCTCGGACCCCCAATACGAATGCTACTCGGCTGCAAGCCGGCTCTCTTGGAAAGAGGGGGCATCTAGCAGGATGGTATGCATCGCTCCAAGCCCAAAGCCCCTCACCTCTCTAAGCTGGAATCCTGAAAACCCCTCGTGTTCTTCTCAGATCCGGCTGCCCCGGCTCGGGGAGTTGCCCCGCTGCCCCGTGGTGAGCCGAAAGTCCTTCAAGGTGGCCTTGACGGAAACGAGGGCTGATTATTTTTTTCCTGGGTTTAGGGTTTACGAATTTGGGGGTTTTGTTGGGGGTTTGAAGGGGTTCAACTCTGGACTTGAAGGGTCAGGGCCGCAGGGCTTTTGCTTTGAAGGGATTTACTGGGGAGACATCGCTGTCATGGTATGTGGCGCTACATCTGGGCTCCGAATCGTTGGATGATCTCATGGCGCATGAGAAGGGTTCTGAGTAAGACACCGGCGGGGTTGCTGCCTTTCATCTGCAGCTTGTTGTGTCGGTTAGACACGGACAAATCGCAAAAACAACAAGCCCCCAAACTACTCTTAATCCCAAACAGCGCTACTCTGCAGCCCTACAAGCTTACAAACACTGGGAGGCATCGGACCGCGTGCTTGGCTGCCCCGTGCCCGAGTACGCCGACGTGCTTCGAGTCGTCCAGGCACTCTCCGATGCCCACGCCACGTTTCGCCTGAGCTGGTTATAGTCTGGCACTCTGCAGTCTTTTATCTGTATAGCGTAAGATTTGACCCGATACCTTTGTTATAGAAATCGCACAAGAGTTCACAGAGCCCTCGTGCTAAGAGCCACAGGTGGTTGAATCAGGTTCATCGGTAGATCACACAACCACCACGAAGATGTTTGCAATACGCCATACGAAATGAGATGGCATGACATTAAGGCTCTACAGGATGTCGTATCATGTTCTGTTATTTCTTACAGCAAAAGAGTGACCAATAGTCTTGGCTCTAACATTTTAGTTGTGCTTTTTAACCTTCCCAGGCCCAGCTCGTGATGGGCCACAGCTGGCCGGCCGAGATGCCTTGGACTTCGATGCTTTGCTCATTGCTGTGCTGGTGGCCGCGGCTTGATTGGTGGCCTCAGGAGGGCTTTGGGCTTTGGAGTTTAGAGCTTTGTGGTAGAGACGCTCCTTTTCCGAAACCCACCTTGTTCCGTGAAAGGGGAGTTGCAAGGAGTGGCAATAGCAGTAGCTGCTTTCACCGTCAGCTGTTGAAGCCATTGTTTAATTTTCAGGCCCAAGCCCGCCTCAGCCCTGAGAGTTGCACCCAGAATATCAAGGCCGCCAAAGTCCGAGTGTGCCAGGTTCCTTCCTTACCTACTGCTCGTGGCCGCAGTGGTGCCAGCTGCGGTCCTTGCTCTCAACAGAGAGGCCCAAGTCTAAGTGAAGTTGCGAGATGCGGGTCTTTTTTGCTTTCGCGCTAACAATGCCCTTCTTGGAAGGGCAGGGGACTTAGTAAGTAGGTTATAAGTATATAGGGTTACATTTGGGGTAACTCCATTTAGGGTACTTATAACTCTACTTATAACCTACTTACTAAGTCCCCTGCCCCTCCAAGTTGGCCTTAAAGATTGAGCCCTGCCGTGCATCCTTCGCAGGCCTTCCTTGTGATCGCTCCCTTGGCCCTGGCCTTGCACGTTCTGCAGGAGCAAGAGAAGGGCTTGGGCGGCTTGAGTTTGGGGTGCAGGATTCGGGGGGGGGGGGGGGTTGTTGGAGTTTGAGGGGGTTTGCTATGAAGCTTCTGGGTGGAGGAAGGTGAAGGGACCTTGATCCCAAGCCCGGCCCGGGCAATTGAGCTTCAAGAGATTTTTATTCAGGGGCTGCAAGCAAAGGCGGTCCGAAATCTTCCGAAACCAGGATAGAAACGCACAAACGCTAGGATGCCCAAGAAGAAGGGCTGGCACTCCCAAAAGGGAAGACCAGAGACGACAGGCCCTCCGCCGGCGGCTCTGGGATCGCCGGCTGCTGCTGTCAGCCGGGGGCCCGGAGAAACAGGAGCTCCGAGTAGGGTTTAGGAGTTTAGGGGTAGTGATACTCGGTGAAGTGTTATGAGCAGTACTCATGATGACAATAACAACCACTATGGAATTCATTTGCAACGGCTTTAAAGCACTAGTCTTGGCAGATGCAACAAGAGCAACGTGAACTCAAGGGGTTCAAGCTCAAGGGCGTCCTGATTTCTTTTCAACTAAAGGTTCCAGACGGCTTCTGCAATTCACATTACCGGAGTGTGCTTTTCAGGGAGGTATTACGTTCCCGCCGATGTGAGGATGGCAGCTGGCGGAAGGTCGTTGTTTCTGGCTATCACAGGCTGGGAGGCGGTGTGTTTGGGCCGTGAGGTCTTTGATGTCCTAAGCCAAACCCCTGAAGGCTCCGGAGCCGCGAAGAGCGACAGCCCAAAGCCGAACGGACCCCCCGAGCCCAATTCCTAAACGATAAAAGAGAGCCACGAGGTCGATCAGGCAGCTGCGGCTGACCTCAGGGATCAGCTGAGAGCCCCGCTTGGCTGGGGCGAAGAAGGCGCGGACCTTTGCTTCGCGACCTTCCGGGTACCTGACCTTGCATCATGTGAGCCTTCTTGCAGTTTCCAGCCAGGCCTCTGATCGTTTCTCTGCTCAGGTCAGCTCTTCTCAGCAAACCTCAGTGCAGCCCTGCAGGCCGGGCTTGGAGCTTTCCGTACGAGCGGCTATCGATTTTCGATTGCAAATGCGACGAAGCGTCCAAAGAGCTGAAGCAGGAGGGCCTCCCAAGCTAGCTTAGCACATCAGGTTGCATTCCGGGACTCCTACTTCGTGCACAGCCTGTCTTTCGATGGCCGGAGATGCGAAGAGTACTGCAGAACCGGGTGCATAGGTAAAGTCACCATCCCGATGTTGAAGACGACTCAAGGAAGTTGAAGCACCATGGTGCGGTCCTTCTGGCTCCCCTCACAAGCTCTGGACTCGGCCTGGAGACCTGACCCGAGTCCTCAGACAAGACGAACAGACGAAGGCAACATGAAGTGCTGCTGAATGCAGGCGTTCAACCTGGCCCCCAACGCTCTGCTTCTTCCGGCCCCAGGCACTTGATCCTTTAGGGGAAGGGCGGCGATTTGAGGGTTGGTTTGGGCCTGCATGTCTCCTGAATCTGAAGATCCTTGCGTTGGACATTTTCGGTCTGAACTTGAAGTGAGACTAGTGCTACATTTACGCTGGAGGCCGCCGGGCATGGATGCGCTCGTTTCTGTGGCACCCTGAGTTGTGGGATGTTGACATAAGTCCGATCGGAAGGACTTCGGAGATCACTAGCAGGGTTTTCACGGGGTTCAGACCGTGACACCTGGGCTTCTACGGAAAATTCGCTGCAGAATGCACGAGCATTGAGCATGTGAACCGTCTGATGAGTGTCTCGTGAGCTCGGAGCTGTCATCTTGCCGAGCACCATGAAGAAAAACCCACACAGTCTGACTCGCAGGTTCGCCTTGTTTCTTCTGATGCCTGGGGCGGGACTGCGAGTCTCGTTTCTGGATCTCGAATCGCCACCAATCTGGAGCGAGGCACCATCCTCAGAAGATCCAGGCCTGAGAGGACAGGACAGGGAGGAGAGAGCTCTCAAGAACCGACACTCGGGCACATGTTCACGAAAAGCACGAGAGGAGAGGAGAGAGAGAGGGGGTGCCGAATAGCTTGCATACGCCCGCCACCATGCGGGCACTCAGGGTGTGCCCAGCATGGAAGCAGGCAGGGGGTGGGAGCAAGAGAGCAGCTGCCGTGTCATTCAGGTCGCTTTGGTCGCGCTTTGCTCCTTGATATTGGTGGCAGTGGAATGCCGTCCATCGCAGGATTGACCTGACACTGTCAGGTGGGTCGTTCGGGATTTTCAACATTCGATCGGGGAGCTGAGCCACAGTCTGCAGTCTTCCTTTCCGAGCCGTTCAGCATCCTACAAGGTCCCAAGGGTTCCAAGCCACAGGGACACCTCCAGCCAGACACGCAGCTATAAACCAGCTTGAAACCCCAAGAATTTTAACCCTAAGCAGGGCAACCCCCTCAAATGCTTTTGCAGCCCTTGACGGTGGCAACCCCCATCGTATTTGGCCATCATGGACGTTTTGCTTATCAGATGGGTAGTTGTCAAAATTATGGCCCCTGTTTGGGCACCCTAGAAATTAGGTGCCGTATTTTAATCGGGAACCAAAAGGGGACCCTAATATTGACACCCACCCAGCTGATGGCTGTTACCGTCGTTGTCCTGATGCCCATACAGAGGGCTGAGGCAGTGTCTTGTCATTGCTACTTACCCCTGTGATAACATAGTTGTTTTTGATTTGCTCAGGGGTGATCTTGCTTTTAATGATGTCGTAAATCAGAATCTCTGTAGCCACCACTCTTGCTGTGAGGATGATTCTGACTACATTGCAAAAGCAGCATCCTTCGAACAGATTGTGATCATGAAATTAGGTAATAACTGTAGTGATTGTTGAGGCTGCTGTGCGTAGAGAAGAAGGGGTGGGCCCTATAGTCTGATCTTGAACCCTATAAATCCTACGGAATTGTGAGTCTGAAGCTACATGCTAGGAGCTCCCACGCGCAGAGCTCGTGGACCAGCGGTTAGAGGCGCAGAGGGGAAGAGGAGCCTTCGTTTAAGCCGTTTACCTCCTGGTGGGTTGAGGGGTTTGGGGTTTAGGGTTAAGGAGACGGTCGTCTAGACTTGCAGGTTCGGGCAAGGCCTGGGTGCAAAACGGTGCGAGGGCCTCCAAGCCTAAAGCCCTAAAGGCCCTTCTTGAGGCAGAAGCCCCAAGGTTTTGGGCCTTAAACCAGTGAAGGCTCTGGAGGCTGGCTTCAATGCGATGCTCGACACTCTGCGGCCACTGCTTGGCCAAAGCGGCAGGCGCCTTCGTGTTTTATCTTGCAGTGTCGAACCCTTGATCCTCATTTGTTCGTGATCCCCTTGGCCCTATGTAGCATCTGCAGCTGTGCTGGCAGGCCTACATTTGCCAGTCAAGCTCAAGCCAAGGCAGGCATCAGTGTCGTTGCCTAGGTGACAAGAAGAAGCTACAGGCAGAACATGTCAATGACAGTGGCGCCTGCGTCAGGTTCCAGGGGGCATGGACCAGCCCGCTGTGCTCGAGCGTTTCGGGGTCCACAACCTAGATGCCTTAGATTTCGCAATGCGGCAGACTCCCTGAAAGCTTGTAGGTAGAGAACTGAAAGGCCGACATTGACGATTCGTCGTACGTCTAAGGAGACCACGACAGCTTGGGAGTAGTACGACTGTTTGCCACGACAGACACCGGAGCTACTGAGTCCAAGGTGAGGTTGATCACTGCGGAAAGGTTCACACTCCGAGGGAGCCTCACAATTCTGCAGGACGCTCTTGGGCCACTGCGGGAGGGTTGACACTCATGCCAGCGAGGCACCTTGTAGTTGAAGGGGCATCACGAAGTGTTGTTCGCACAACTTGTTGGTAGCAGGTCGCCAGCTGCTGGTTGCTCTTTGGAGGGGCCTCTCTTCCTCAGCGCCTCGAAGCTAACAGCCGGAAGGCTCTCAAAGACCTCCACCCATGCTTTGGTACATTTTGGCGAAATGGAAAGCGATCTGTAGCCAGCAGGGACACCACAGATGAAGCCAACCATTCCGCTCAGACGGTGCCACCCATACATTACCTAGATGTGCACTCATACTTCCAAGCTACTTCCAGGAGATGAGATTGAACTCGACGAGTGACAAGCCTCAATCACAACTCCAGTCTTAAACCTTCAAAGAAACCGCTGCGGCCCTCGCAGGAGCAGTGCAGCATCTTGGTCAGCTGCCCGCTGGGGGACTTCGACCTCGTGGCCAATGGTTTGGAAGGTGGGAAAAGGATCTTCCGTTCAAGTGAGTTTTGAGACATTCAAACTCGAACAAAGATCTTCGCGAGTCACGCCAGAATTTCCGAAGCTGCTTGCAAATGTTGCAAGAGTCGCCAGCTACGGTAGCACAGCAGCGTCAGTTGTAAGTGGAACACAATAGTGCAGCAGCTTGTGTTAACGGCAGCACACCGCACTACCTGTCAAGGTGCCTTGTCCACAGATCTCGGCAAGACAGCCGCCGGCGAGGGCGAGTCGATGGCGCTGTCGCCTCCGGCCAGGGATGCTGGTAGCTGAGATCGGGTGCCTTGAGAGTGAAGGATCAGAGGCGCTCAGAGGTCTAAAACAGCGGTTCCGGACGTAGGCCTGGGAGACTTGGCGCTTGAGGCTGGTTCAGGGCCCAGGGTCCACAGATTCAGAAGTCTTGCCGCCGGTTGAAAATAGCACCGAGGCCTCCGGATGGGCTGCCGCGCTGGCAGCACGATTCACGCCCTGTGGCTGCAGCTGCTGGAGGGTTGCTACACTGCTACAAGTGGTGCTACAAAGGTATGGAAGTTCCTGTATGGGTTGCCGTCGACCTGGCAATGCTGGTTGCATCGCCGACAGTCCCGAGCATCCCAAGAGCGCGTGGGCCTACGCCGCGACAGAACATAGCAGGCTGCGAGCCAGTGAGTGGGCCAGCGGCCAGCGCTCCTTCCATCCGATCCCACCAAAGCTTAAATGCCAACAGTAGACTCTGACTCCACACCCGCAGGCGTAGACATAGGGACCAGGCATCTTCAAGGGTTCCACCTGCTTGCTGCATCCGCGGTGACCCTGGGTTGCGGTCTACACTCGAAATATTCCGAAAGATGCTGCACACAAGGAGCAGAGACACGCGCCCACGCAGAGACGATGATCTTGCGAGCGTTTGGGGCCTGGTGCAGAAAGACCAGGTTTGGGGTTGGCTTCGGCTTCGTGGAGGGGGTTCGCATCCCTTTATGCTATTATGCCAGGTTTTCAGGCTCTTCGCTGCTTCATCATGACCTTTGTGTGCGATCCATTCATCTCTGGTGAACTTGTTGCGTTTAGTGGAAGTCTGTAACTCAGGTGTCGACCGCCAGCACGCTGACGCGAGGTAAGGGCCAGGTTGATGAGGCGCCGCGGGGGAGGGCCGCATTCCTGTACGAAGGTGCAGGCTTGAAGGGATGAAAGCGATCGAAAGCCAACACCACGAGGCCCAATCTGTGTCCTGAAAATCGACGTAGTTGCCTGGACCCATGAAATACTCTATACAGGTGTCCATGACATCCTTCCGATGTTACGACTGTCATCATTAGATGCAAAGACGGTGCAGAAGCGTGTAGTCCGTTGAGAGAACCCAATCTAAATCTAAATCCAAAAGGACCCCACTCAATACCCAATACTAACCAGTCAATCGAAACAAGTCGCAGCACACAAACGCCTGTAGAGCGCTTTTTGCGCAAAAGTCCCACGTAAAGCCAGCATACACCCAGGAATGCACCTACCCGACCTGCCCCAAAACTCCAAAATCAAAGCGGTAAGCCCAACTCCCCCCCCCGTCCCCCCCCTGTGTACCCCAAGATCCCAACCTGAGCTCTCAGAGGCCTCCTTGCATCTCGCGCTTGCCATGGTGGCCGCCCTGAGCCGTTGTGCTCATCGGCCCCTGGAGGCCCCAAGAAGAGAAGCAGCGTTCTGGTCATACGACTGCGGGCTTGAGGGGGTCCCAGCTACTACAGCCGTGTTTAAAGTTTCTGCCCTCGCATAATGCTGGGAGCACAGGGAGGGTGTGAGATGTAGAAGTCCCAAAAACAAACACCCGTGGAGCCTAGCAACGCCACCTGGAGCATCAAGCCGCCCCAACCCACAGCCCCACTCAACCCCAAGCCCAAATAAACCTGTCAACCCTAAATCCCTAAACCTCCCCCCCACAAGGGTCCATGAGCTTTTGGTGTGCTAGGTTTTCAGCGCCGTGGGCTCCCACTCCGCAGTGGTGCCCCCCAAGGCGCAACCGACGCGGGCATAAGATGGCGGGTCTTGGGTTGTTTGAGGTGTGAGAAAACATATCAGCAATGATTTGTAAGGGTTGCTCTAAGTTTAATGGTGCTGATGGCTGTCCTTCCTGATCGATCTGATATGAGTACTGACAGTAAGAACAGGACGAGAAGAACGCCTTCTGGCCCTTGCCATGATTATTTCTGGCAGACCTCACCAGGCCGTTGCCAACCTAACATCCGATCCGGACCCCAGTCCCCGAAACCCTCATCCAAAAATAATTGAATCCTGCAACCTTAAAAGTCCCTTACTTAAAGCACCCCGCTAAAGTCACTAAACCCTGAAGCCTAGCGGTCCAGGCCCATCAAGCACAAAATGATCTCGAGCCCAGACCCTGGCTCTTCAGTTTCCCCTCATTGGGGTAAGGTCTCTTATGACGAGCCCTCCCTGATCCTTGCCATGGCAGAGGCGTTTCGGCACGGTTTGCAGAGCTTCGGACATGTTGTTCGACATCGTTCTGCGAGTTATCATGACTAGGTAGGGCTTTGGGACATTTTATATTTTCCCTTATTGGGCTTAAGAGGGTCTTATTTACCAATATATTTCAAAGGCTCTAAAAGCCCCACCTAGATGATGATATTCTCAGACGGAAGGTTCAGGAGATGGGGAGGACATATTGCGATCGGGGGTCTAGGACATGACATCGGATCCTCCCAAGATGAGAAACTTCAAGGCGGAGATGTTTTTCAGGGATCGGGCTTGGGCTTGAGTGTTTCAGGGGTTTTCTCCGTCTCTTCTCGCCTCGTTGCAAGGCATGTGGCCTCTTTAGGGCTGTTTTGCGCACGGAGGGTTGCGTGGAGCTCGGGTCTTTATCTGGAAGCCCTCAAACAAGTGTTGGGCAGATCCAGGGGTTTCCTGTTGGAGGTCGGTGGGAGGAGGTTACAGATCAGGATTGGGATTAGCCCAGTCTGAGATCCCTCAATCGGGCCGTACAAGCCTGGTGAAAGTAGCCTTTGTAACATAACGAACCCGATTCCTTGGACCTGGGATACCGGAATACCTTCTGTGTAAAACGACTCTGCCATCTAAGCTCGCGCTCTATAGCTGCCTGCAAAGCTCAGTCCCCGAAGCTTCCTCTTGTGAGGACCAGTTGAGCTGCCATCCACATCGTTACGGCGCTGCAGTGGGCTCGGAATCGGATCACGGCTTTAGAGGTGTTGAGGCGCGAAATGGAAAGAATCCTGTCGCCGAGCAAGTGTTCTTTCTTCAAGTCTTGTCTTTGCCCATGGTCGGTCTGAGCCATGGAAATCTATGCTCTGTGTGTTTGCTTTAGGTTCTTCGCCAGGAGCAGACACCCGAGCCCCCTGATGTCTGAGCCACTGCGTGAAGGTTTCGAAGAGTGTTGGCTGCCCGGCGCCAAGCCGCCATTCCGGCCATTATAATTACAGTATAATATACCCCAAGTGGTATTCTAAAGGGCCCTTTCATTACGCACGATTCCCCTCCTCATTCCTCAGATCATGTTCTCACCTGGCTTTCACACGGAGGGCCGAGGCTGCGCTGCTGGACAGGCATAGGTCATGTCGTCCAGCAGAGGTTGAACCGTACTCATGCCGATAGCTCCTGTGACATCGGTGCACCAGAGACATCTTGACGAGGCTGCAGGGAAGCCAGGAGGTCCGTGATCAAGGCGCTGCTTTCCGTCACGCCTCAAGGGGTTGAGAGCCGATCGAGGTGTGAGGGCACAGCTTCCAAGTGCGACCTCTAGACATTGAAACAAAACGCTGAGAGGAGCGCTTCGGCGTGATCCGTGATCCTGGGGAGATGCGCCAGCTGTGCACAGACGACGCCACGGGCTCAGATTCATCGGGACGTTCCGTACGGTCCGCTCTTGAGACAACTACAGCTACAGCGGCCATCTCCTCAGAGCAGGTTCCGGCATAGTCTTCGTTTTGTGCCAAGATGTGGCTGAGGAGCTGGTGGGGCAGTCCTTTACTAGTTCTTCTGTGCAGGCGGGCATGCTGTAGATAGGGACCTTCGGAGACAGTTGTGACCGCAGCGGATACATGATTCCATCAGTGCGTTTGACAGAATGTTGGCCCCAAGCGGATTGAAAGAAAACCTGTCAAGACCCCACATAAGGTTGTGGTTTCTACGGGGTTCCGTTGTCTCCCAAAGCCTGTGCCACTTTGCCATCCTCTGCCCCCGTGGTTTGTGGCCTGGGGCCTGCATGGGATTCAGGGACCAGCTCTTGTTTGTCATCTCAGCTCCGAGACCCCAGAGCTCCTTCAAGTCATCTCGGGGAAAGCCATTCGAGGCTCCGACACGTGGGACACCCAAGTGGCTGAGCTGCGGTTGAACTTTGAACACAGTCCTGCCAGCTCCGCATCGACGACTCGCCGCGGAGTTCGGCAGCTTCACAGGGCAGCGGCAGCGAGGCCTGGGCAATGCGAGACTGGAACGAGTCGTGAGATTCGGTTGGTGGGTTTCGACCGGGTATCTCTGGAACATAAGAGCTGGAATCCTACCCCGTCAGGGCCAAGTGCGTAATTTCGCATCTTAGACGGGTAGTCGTTGACCCAGCATAATAATTGTGCACTGGGCATTGTTTTGCTCAGGGGTGGTGTCGAGAAGTTTCGAGATCTGCGGTCTATTCGCGTGACCCGAATGGCCAGGACGAGCTGAGCCGTGCGGGCCCGAACCTGAGATTCCAACAGGGACATGGGGTCCAAAGGAAAGCCAGAGCTAAAAGCCCATCTCTTCTTGCCGAAGTTGGGCACGCGCAGGAGGCAAGGTGCTGTGATGTAACAAGGTTTGTGTTGGGGCTTATCGCCCGAGCTACCCTACTGAGAGGCCGGAGAGTGTCCATAGCTCTCGAAGCAGCATCGCCGTCGCATAGAAAGTGTGCCGGGCAATCCTCATCAAGCTGGAATGCGTAGACTAGACCGTAAAGCAGAACCCCCCAAACTTTAGATCCTGTCGCCTGAACCCTGTCCGGACATCGTGGGCACCGAGGTACAAAGTGGCCATCTTCCTCAAGGTACCCAGAGTTTTTCGTCCAGTATAGGTCAGACATAGAATCTTGTGATATCTTGTGGTCCAGAGATATGTGAGTGCCAGAGATGCTGTCTGTGAGCACTTGCTGAGTACGGCGCTGAGCAACCCGCAGTTTGTACCATTTACATTACATATTTCATCTTCTGATGGACAAGGGCATAGCCACTTGTATACAGCTCTCATGTGCAGACGAGAGAGCATTGGGGGAGCGATGCTTACTGCTGACACCCATTCTTTACTTCGACTTCGAGCATCATCCCTTTTGTTTCCACTGTGCCGCCGTGGAGGTCAAACAGCCGGTATACCAAGATCTTTTCTGGAGCCCCACGCCATCTGGCGCGGAACCCGGTGAAGCCCAACATAGAGGTCGGATCAGCTATACCCTAAACCCTAAACCCCGAAGCTCTGAACCCTAAACATCCCCAAACCCTGTGAGCATAAGAGCGCAGTGTAGTAGTATTATTAGCCCTAACCCCTAAACCCCTAAACCCTAAACCCCTAAACCCCTAAACCCTAAACCGTGAATATCCCCCGATACCAAAGCCGTGCCCCACTTCGAGGCGCTGGTCTTCGACTCCTTCGCAGCCCGGGATCGCTGCCAGGGGCTCCTGGGGATTTGTCGGGGCTGTAGGAGGTTGGACTTGGGGGCGGGTTCGGGGGGATTTAGGGTTGGGGGGGAATAGTGTCTTAGGGTTCCAGAGATTGTCGGGTTTCAGAACTTCGGGTTCAGAAGTTGATGGGTTTGGGGAGACTGATTTGACTTCGCGGCTCGGAATGAGGTCGTGGGAGGCTTTGGGTTCAGGCCAAATGACAGGTGACGGGGCTCCTGGACCAGAGACCTTTCTGGATGCAGGATCTGGCACTTGGTTGGGATTCAATGCGGGTTTCACGCTGTGGTTTTTTGGGGCCAGTATGCAGACAGAGATTTGGAGGGTAGGGTCACAGGATGGTGTGGGAGAAAGGATGGTGGCAGTATCAAGAGAAGAAGGACCTGCCTAGTGCTCAGTCCAAGGTGTTGTGGGTTCGCACGGCCTTTCATCGCGAGTGTCTTCGGAATCGCTATGGCCCTGTCCAAAAGGTGCCTACGAAACGTTCAGGTTCCTTCCTGGTCCGTCTCTCCTAAGACCCTGTACAAGAGACTGCGAAGAAGCTGTCTACTTGTCTACTCATGGGTCAGATCTCTGTCTGCTCCACGGAGAATGGCATCCTCACTTCTGCCCAAGTGTGAACCGTGAACCCTAAACTCCGCCAGCACCATGCCAACACCCTCGAGCCGCAACCCTAAACTCCCTCCATGTCTCCAACAGCTTTTGTCCGAAGCCTTAAACTCTGGACGCGAACCCTAAACTCTAATGTACACGTGTAGATGCAGATCATGTTTTGACACCTGTAGTCCTTTGCGATAGCGTGCCGCGATATCTCACCCTTCAAACTTATTGTAATCACTAAGGCCCCTAAATTGCTTAAAACCTCGTAATCCCCAAACCCTAAACTCTACTACACGCCCCAGGCCGGCCCAAAAAAAAGCCAAAAGCCCCAAACCCAATAAGCCCCATAAGCCCTACCTCAACCCCAAGTAACCTACATTTTTGAAGACTTATGTATATAAAGAAATCATATTAGGGAACCCTAGCCTAAAAAGGTAGGTTCTTTAGGGTCCAGGCAAAGCCTAAAGGAGCCTGGCAACTCAGGTCTGGAGCTGATCCGACAAGTCCTGCCGCTGCCTACGCCAACTGTGTCGGCCTTGGCGGCTTCCGGGCTTCAGGGTTTTAGGGGTTTAGGGTTTTAGGGTTCAGGGCTTTTGGGATTAAGGGTTCCAGGATTTTTTTAGGTTTACGGGTTGAGGGTTCAGGTTTCCGTTTGTTTTATTTTGTGGTTTAGGGTTTCAGTGCTTTTGGGGTTCAGGTTTTCGGTGTTTTGCGGCTTAAGGGTTTCGGTGCAGTTGAGGCTTTCACTTTTTGCAGTTCTCGAAACCATGGCTTCCGAAGTGCACTGCGATGCGTTTCCCAGAAACTGTCATGCACAATTGAGATACAAGTAGCAGTTTCCATCAGCGCTTCCAGGCCAGCCGTTCCAAGTGCTTTTCGGCCTCGGAGTGAGTGGCCGCAGACCAGCACCTGGTAGTTGTGACGTCTATGTCAGAGAGACTCAAAGCCCCGGAGCCATCGGATCGCGTTAGCCTTAACGTTATGGAATTGTGGGTGGCAGATGCACTGGCTGTGGATCCGGGACCTTGAACTCGCGCTGAATTGAAACTCTGCTCGGAGACCGTCCGAATGGACGGCTTTTTTGCGTTCATGCACTGTGCATATCCCCCCCATGCTACCCCCATGCTCGTGGAGCCTACCGCAAAGTGAGTTTCCAAGGTGAGGGTCCTCGGAGGGGAGATGCCCACCTTGAGGGAGTGGCAGGTTCAGAAGCCATTCAGGACTTGAAAGTTCCTGCTATTCCCACAAGGCCACAGGAAGTTGATGTCCAAAACTGCACGCTGGAAGCTGGCAAATACGAAGCTACCCCGATTCCTATGTTTGGGTCTTTGGTTGCGCATAAACAACCACAAGGTTGGGTTGACAGACCCGGTTTCTCCGGTGTGCTTTGTGTCGCGCTGTGCACCCTGCTGTCTCACCTCGTAGCCAAGCAGGGGACGTGAACTGCAGGCACGCCCCTTGACGGGAGAGTTGCGGTGTAGTTGACTGGAGAAATGACGATCTCTTGCAGCATGGCTACTTGATCAAGTACAGCCCGTCTCGGAAACTTAAGCCCCAAGGCCTCTGGAGCTGAAAGCAGACGGGGTAATTTGCATCTCTCCTGTGTTTTGCTGCAGGGGTCTCTTGGAACGAGGCGGCCCCTCTTTTTTGACAAGGGCCAGCAGATGAGGGTGCAGGCTGATAGTAATCAGGATGGCAAACCGAACTCACAGCGCCAAATGCAGACACTCGCAGCACAAAACACGAACGATACACACATGCTATTCCGCTAGAACTTTGCGTTTGTTCCGAACTACTACGATCGCTATGTCATGTTGACTATGACTATGGACGCTGGCGATTACGGCTCGCACGACGGTTGAAATTCGTCCCCTCGCCTGCTGCTCTTTTTCCTGTGCTACTGCTACTGCAACTGCCACTACCACTGCTACACTGCTAATTACTACCGCTGCCACCACCCCCACCCACCCACCACCCCCACCCACCGCCACCAGCACCAGCACCCAGCACCCAGCACCCAGCACCCAGCACCAGCACCAGCACCAGCACCAGCACCAGCACCACCAGTGCTACGACCACGACTACGACGACGCCGGCTACCACTACTACGACGACGACGACGGCTACATATAGGGACCCCAAAAAGCACATAAGCATAACCATTTAATGGTGATATCCCTACCTTATTGGGCTTCGTTATAAGGGGGTTTATATGGGATATCCCAACCCTAATTTTTGCTCATGTGCTTTTTTGGGGCCCTAACATACGGCTACCACTAGCTCTGGCCCCCCAGCCCTTGCTGCTGCGACTGCAACTGCCACTACCACTCCTGCCACTGCTGCCACTACTACCACTACTGCCACTACGACGCTACCACACTACCACTACTCATTGACACCACCACCACCACCAGCACCACGACCACCGCTACTAGGACGACGACTACTACTATGACGCCCACTCCTACTGCTGTTGCGAATACTGCTGGTGCTGCTCGTCCTACCTTTGCTGCGGCCACAGCACCGAAGAAGAAGGAAGCACAAACAACAGCCCGCTGTTTGTGCTTCAGATCAGGGTATTGCGGGTAGCAGCCTGAAGGCTCATGTTAGCGTCTCCTCAGGCAGCATGCATCCTTGCCAGGCTTGCCCTGTTGAGACCCGCTGAAGAAATCACTGGGGCTCGGCCGGGACGACTGCCTTTTTTGCTGGCTTCTGTCAGGAACCAAAGAGGCAGAAAAGCAGCAGTGTTGTAGCTCTAACAGTTGCTGAGCAGAAATCTCAGCTGTGCTTTTTCTGATTAGTGCTCTTTGTGGTTCCCGCACTTCGTGCAGCCCCCCCGGAGAAGGTCACTCTGAATGCTTCTTCGATTCTAATTCTATAGTGTACTATAGTGCTGACAGTATGAATGCAGAACGAAGGACAATCTTCTGGGAAACAGGGATCTCTGTTTGGACAGACGATATGTCGTGGCTGATCTCCGAATTCGGAGCTCTGGAGGCCGAAGAAGCAGTGCCTGTAACGTGCTTCAGTCTGGAGGCACAAGGCATTCAGTGAAACGGGACGGGCAACACGGTGTTCCATCCGCACTTTTCCAGTGTGCGGGGCAGGAAGTGTCTCTTCGGACGGAGCTTTGGGAGGTGAGTTCCTTCGTTAGCAAGAGAGACTTCCTGCTGCGAACCTCCGACACGTGACGGCTCGACGGTCTGTACAGCCTTCGCCTTCGCGGCGCCTTGGCGATTGAAACATTGAAAAAGCAGTCACGGCAAGGCCTCGACCTGCTGTGCTTTCTTCAGCTCCCCGTGGCATCCCCAAGCCTCCAGATTGCCCTTCCGGAAGCATTTGCTGCCCAAAGTAAGAAGCTGCTTGCAGTAGACGTTTGCCATGGCCTTTGTTCTGTGGCGAGCAGGCGCGAGAGCGAGAGATTCAGGGCGATGGAGGTAAAAAGGAGCCCGAATTCGAGCCCAAGGCATACATCTTCACCCCTGGAGTCCTAGAGCTGCTGAAGAGCTCAGCCTCACCGCGCAGGCCTTGCGGCGCTTCTCGGCGCTTGGGTCACGGCGGCTGAAGACGAGACATTGCTCGAAGGCGGACATCTCATCAAGTAATCTCTTCCCAAAGTCCCATGTTTATTCCAGTGGATGGGATCGTTAGGGTCATACAGTATGGCATCATCTTATGTGGGAAGCCCATCGCAGGCGATGAAAGCGGCCCCGGACCTGAGGCCGTGGAGTTTGTTATTGTTTTGCAGGTGGCACAACACATCGATCTGTGCAAAATTGGGGGTTCGAGATAAGTCAGCAAGGACGTTCTGCTATGTTTCGCTCGACATTTTACAATCAAAGAAAGAATTGCTGGCAACCTGTCACCTGCCTGCACTGCTTCTGGCCTCCTCAAACTGCTGCAACACGGAAGCGGCTGCCTCGCCCTCTTTTACCAGCTGCCGATGTTAGTCCGATGCCCCCAATATTGTTCGTGGTCAACGCATACTGCTTATGCAGAATTCAGCTGATCTCCGACCTGAATAGAATCGGAGGCTCAACAGAGCAATAGAACGGCCAGCCACACAACCTTTGAAAACAGGGGCGCATACATGCGCGAATGCACGGATGAACGCAGGCTTTGCACGTGCAACGATTGAATTCAACATACAGCTTACACATACCGGATCCGCGAGCACTCAGTCAGATGAATGTACTGCTCCAGGCTTCGATCATTCGCACGCAGACTGGGACTGGGTTTGAATTTGCAATGGCACCGGGAAAAATTGCTACATGTAAGGTCTATCTCCCAGCACTCTCGTCGTAGTACCGTCGCAGCATCAGTCGTCGCGACGGAATCGCTGGCCCGCTGTTGGCCTTGTGCAACCACTCCGCTCCCCTCCAAGCCAAACTCTAGACTCTAAACCCCATTGCTGCACCTGTACCGCCTGCATCTCACACTTAGGAGCCAACCCCCCCCGTGCTCTGAACATCCTTCGGCAGGATGAGCCGGTCTATCCGGCGCAGGTGGAAGCTGGCGGTGCGTATGTCTCCAACAAGGAGACGTGGTTTAGGGCGAACGAGGTTGTTGGGTGACGAAAGAGACATGGTGGGCTTTCGGGCAATTAATGAGGCTTCGGGCAAGGTTCGAAGCTACAGCTTTCAATTTTCAAGATCGTCCAGTCTATTCCAGGGTAGCAATGTCCTCGAACAGCAACTTTCAGAGCTTGAGCTGGAACCCGAACACCCAAGCCCAAACCCAAAGTTCAAGACCAGTCCCAAATTGTTGCACTTGCACGACCTAGTTGAGTCCCTGCCTCAAGTCCTCTCCCACTGTCGCTGCGTCAAGGAGGCGAAGGCATTCTACTGGAGATTACGGATGAGACCTGTTCGAGAGGGTGAGATGCAAGCGATGTTGGGACTCCTGGCTGGTCAAACTTGGCACATAGACCCGAAACTTTGGGCTTCGGGATAAGAGCTCGAGTTTAGGTCGAGTCCGCTAACTTGAGATTCCCTCGGCTGGGCCCAGGAGCCTCCTTCGAGAACGGTTGGCCGAATCCTTTCGGCAAGTCTGCTGAGGACACGATGCTCCCTGAAGGAATATGCAACATCATGCTGTGCTGATACACGGTTTTCACCCCGACCCCCCTGCCCGAAGTTGCCTCCAAGCAGCAAGCAGCGCACCTGCAAGCTGTTGGGAGCTCCTTGAAGGACGTTGCGAGCTGGTTGTGGACCGATCTGCTGGCCAGCAATCCCTTCGGCAACTACGGAGTCCTGGTGCCCTGGCCGGAGGAGGACGACGACCAGCCGGGGGCCCCAAAAAGTTGATGACCAGACAGGGGACAGGGGACATGAAGAAAGAAGACCCGTCATGGAACTGAGGCTGGGCCACGGTGGCTGGGTGGCCTACTCGCGAAGGCAGGTCTGCTACATCACAGCCAAGAGCTTCTTCGGTGGAAAGCTTTGGAACTACGAAAGTGGACTCTTCCGGCTCATGAAGATGTGCCAAGGCGCCTGCGACTTTCGGGCTTCCTTTGCGACCCTCCTGGCAGCTTGCTCTGCAGACGAGACGCTGGCCGACGGCAAGCAGGGTCCGATGATCCTCGTGGCAAAGGCCAACGTTGCACCCGAGGTGCCGGACGTCAGAGCCCTCGCGGAAAACGTGATTCTGGAATCCTCTGGGCTGCGCATTTGCGACTACGACGCCGGGGCCGGTGACATCTCAAACGCGGAGACGGTTGATGTATCTGGGTGCGTTCCGCGCAGTGCCACCAATGTCGGGGTCGACTTCATGACAGGAGGCCTGGAAGGTCAGGTTACTCAAGATATCTCTGCCTCGTGGTTTGGTGGCTATCTGTTTGATGCCAAAGCATGTGGCCTGGGTGGTGGACAAGACGAGCGCCTCTCCGTCTATTTTCCAGAGGTCACCGTTCTTGCATATTTCTTATCGAGGAGCATGCCTTACCCACAGGTGCGACAGCCCGTTTGGTTCTTGGGAGCTCGAAACTTCTTCAAGAACCTGGATGGCACTGCCCGCTTCGACTCTCCACTGGTTCTTTCCGACATTCCCGTCGACGATCGAAATCTTGAGACGATCACCCTGGAGGGAGCCTCCTACCAGATCGACAAGTCGAGGTCCTTGCTATTGCTTGCTTTTGGGGATCTCCGTATTGCATAAGCTTAGGCTTAGGTATGGCTCAAGCCCAGTACAGCGTAGCGTGTCTGGGATCCCCCGCTCTGGAGCCGAGGGACCCCCAGGGTCCAACACCTTGCGAGGCCCGTGGTGGTCTTCATGAGCGAAAGCCAGGGCTTCTTCAAGGAGACGAAGCACAACCTGGCGCTGGCAAGGACAAATCGGCTACAAGCGCAGAGAGACATGGGTGCCGGGAAGTTCGCGTTCGAGAAGCAGGCGGCCCGAGCTAAGTTGGAGGGATTCATGACGGCTGCAAAGCCGAACGTCGCCGAAAGGCTTTAGTTCACTGTGCCGAACTCCAAACCTCCTGTGCCCTAGCATGCAGGGCTTTGGTGAACCCATACTATAGGGGCCTTAATAATTACCAAAAATTTTCTGAGGTTCCTCATTAGAATTACAGTCTAATGGGCCCTGAAGGCGCCGATATTACACCACCACATTGCAGGTAGGCTCCTCCCTCCTCAGCCCGCAAACTCCTGAGACCGGAGGTGCGAGCTTGGTACCGCTCCATGGCACTGGACTCCTACGACGAGGTGCCACTTTCTTTGGGGCCGCGGCTGATAAGATCCGACGTTATCCTCAGAAGCCTCATAAGGTAGGATGAAGGTAGGTGGGGTGATCAATGGATCCTTCTCCTATCTTATCCTTTTCTGCTTGGAGCTTTGACTTGGCGACCGAGATGTTGCTATTGCTGGGTGCGCCCGCCCGAAGCCCCTTGAGGCCATTCGGCCCATCTTGAAAAAGCTGAGCCGCTCGTTGGGCGCTGGCCCATGGCTTGCCGGGCTGTGGCCTCTCGGCCTCCATGGGAACCCGGTGTCCCAGTACCAAGAAAAGAGTGAGGAGGCATCATGGTTCAACATGCAGGAGGTTGTAGGAGGGTTCCGGATTTTAGGTGTAGAGCTCCGCTGATCGAATTCGTCTGCATAATCAAGGTGTTAAGAGAACAAACAGATTTTTGGAGTGCGGGGGGTGGGGGTTCCTTCGTACTCCGGCCTGATACTTTGAAGCATGCCGTAGCTCGTTCTTCAAACATTCTACGTTGAATTCTGCTGCATCGTCACCCGAAGCTACCCACACCCCAAACTCGAAAACCCAAAGCCTAAACTCTTCCTAGGTGGGGCGATTCGCAGCTCGGTTTTTTGGCGGCTTGGCTCGGGCAGGTGCCTTCGCTGCAGGTTGTTGGCCCGGCTTCTGTTTCTGTTGCTGGGTGTATGGATCTGGTGGTTTGGGCTGTAGCAGCAGCAGGAGGACGACGGACCGAAGAACATGATGTTTGCGGGAACGGAAAAGGGTTGTTTGATGGAACTCAACTTGAGGGGCCTGACTGGGATTCAGGTGTTTGAGAGCGAGCCGAGAGCATTGCCAATTTGCCTGCAGGGGTCTTGGTCGTGATATGTGGCGTAGAATACTTTAAACACGTCAGTCCTGAGCTTATATGCCGGTCTTCACCACACGCTGAACGAAGCTGGCACTTCATTTCAGTGAAAGAAGCCGAGACTGGCGAGAGTGCCGCTGACCAGTTTGAAGTTGAGCTCCTTTGTACCTCCAGCTTCTTTCAGGCTCTTGCAGCTCACACCTGGGGCCAGCCTCTTCCTCTCGCTGCTTAGTGTCAGAGTGCGGTTTCGGGACCTTTGACGGTTTTGGAGTTCAGGGTTTCAGCATTTTGGTTTGTGTAGGGCTCAGAGGAAGACTTGCACCGCTTGCATGCAAAAGCTAGGTCTGATTGCTACTCGTGGAGTGCCAGAAGCCCACTAACGAGGGTGTGAGAGTTTAGGGCTTAGGGCAACATGATCTGCTACCACTTTGCTATGATAGTCTATGATGTAGATACAGTTGAGGGTTTTTTCACAAGGGTCTGCAGGGTGCAAGGGAGGAGGCAGCGAGAAGCAGGCTCAGGTTGATAAATTGCAGAGGACAAGCTGACTTGTCCAGTCAAACATGTTGAGAAGCGGTTTTCATTCTGGAGTTGACTTCAGGTCAAGGGGGCCTGATTTGTTCGAGACACGGATGAGCCTAGTCACTAAGAGAACCACATGCTGAGAGAAGCCGAGGACTACTACCTTTATGCCGACTTCACGGAGAATCCGGGCAACATGTGCCTAGGTGATGTTGCGGCAAGCTGTTCTCGAAGCGTTACCAGAGTCTTGGACATACAGCTGCACAATCAACACCCACCGGCTCTGACACTGTCCTCTTCCCGGGTTTTTCCGCACATACGTACACATACGTACGCTATGCACAACCCCTGAGTCACCCTCAACCCCGATCTCTGCAGCTGCAACAGGTGCTACCTCCTTCCTGGAGAGGCCTGTGAGAAGTGCCTGGAGACCTGCCAGAGTCCGGATCCCCCCGCCAGTGCGCAGCTCGACCTTTGAGTCTAAGGTTGGGATCTCTCTTGCGCTCTTTGTCCAATGGGGTGTCCCAGGTATCCTTGTGGGGGTTGAAGTTGTCAGGACTGCTCGGTCGGTGCTTAAGTCTTCGTCGGGTCTCAGGGTTGTCCGACTAAGGTATTGGATGCCCGACGAGGCGTATTTCAACGGCCGACCCTGCGTTCCAGACAAGTCCATCTGCGGTCGGGAAGCTGCTCGATTCACAAATCATTATCTGTTATCTCCAATTCAAGACTAAGAGTAAGAATTCAGTACCACTTCCGAAGCTAGTATCCTGATTTTCAGCTCGTTCCAAATCGCGAAACGCCAGAACCCCGAAACTGTCCAGGAACTTAGAGGCCCAAACAGTCGGCCGGCCGAGACTTTGAGGGTTTGAAGCATGTTGGAACCGTAAAGTTAGAGCGATCTTTCTCAACGAGCTTACATCGCAAGCCAAAGTCCCTGCGTGCCCTTCGAGCTTGGGCAGCTCAGGGCTTTGACGATGTCGTCGGGGCATTTTTGGGGAGGCCAGCACCCCAGCTCTGCTGCACAGACATGGGCCTCCGAATCACTGAATGCTTGAAGAGTGTTGCAGTTCGTGCCACCACTAACCCAGTAACTACCAAGTAGGCCTCAGGCCTTCGGGCAAGGCTACACCGTCTGCATCATTAGCTCGCGATATTTTTTGCGGACTGTTTTTCTCGCGCAGGAGTGTCGCGGAGGTGTGGAGGGAGATAGAGAGCCAGGTGGCGGCCAACCCGGTGTCTGTGAATGTTTTCGATGCTATCCTCAGCGCACGGCGGCTGCAAATCGTTTAGCTGTAAAGTCCTTCGAAGAGCGGCTGAGCGCAAGCCCTCGAAGCCTCTTGCACAGCTTTAACAAGCTGCACATTTTAGACTCCCTGGGCACAGAAGTTAAGTTCACGGTGAAGCCAGGGCACTGTTTGAAGTCATGCCTGGCCACGGACAACACGCTGTACTTTCATGAGTCCCAGTGATGCTGCACGATCAATTCGCAAACCAGATTGAATCGGTTCGCTTCTCCGAAACGGGGAGGTTCCCGCTGCAGTTCAGTCCAAACGAAAGCTGTTGCCGGGTCCAGGGTGCAGAGCTTCCAGGTGAACCTCTCTCGGGGCATCTCGAACGGCCATATGTGCCTGATGCGCCATCGGCAAAGCTTGGCGGATCGGAGGTGCACAGAGTTCCGGATCGGCATGCAAGCAAAACAGGGCCGGGAGAAGTGCTTTATGTCATGGAACGACTTGTCCACTATCCCGTGCCGAAGCCGACACTCCTCTGAAGCGTCTTTGGACATCGGCCTTTGCTCAGCCTGCACGAACTTGACAGGTAGCTTTTTTGTGCATCGCCGGTCTGAGCCCCCACCAGCAGAAACATGCTACTGCGGACGTTCAGTTTCGGGATCCCCGAACCACCAGAGCTCTCTGCCCTTAAGATCCTGAGGGGCCATAAGCAACCCCAAACGGCAACAGCCACTAAATCCCGAAGCCCGAAAACTGAAGCCCTCTCTCCCTTTGCACCCAACCCTAAACCCTAAACCCTAAACCCTAAAGCCCTAAACCCGAAACCCTAATCCCAAACCCTGAATCCTAAACCCCATGATCCCCAAATTCCCACAAATGCCGCGTCGGACCTGAGGCCGAGGCCCCCGTCCCCCGAGAACAGTGGGGTGAACACGGAGTCGCTGCCGGAGACCTCTTCGGATGTGGGTTCGGGCTTTTAGGGATATCGGCATTTAGGGCTTCAGTGCTGAGAGGTGGGTTGAGGGTTCGGGATTTTGGGGTCTGTGCCTGAGGGTTCGTGGTGTTTTCGGGCTTGAGCCTTGAGGTGCAGTTGAATGCCTTGCAGTACACAGAATCCCAGAGTCGGGTGGGGGAGTGCAGGAAGAGTTTGAAACTCTGAGGGCCCTGATTCTCGGGTTGGTGGGGCTTACGCCGCAGCTGCCGATGTTGAACATAATACTGCGCTGGAGGTGCTGCAAGTACTGGTCGATACGCATATAGGAGTCCGAGCAGTGATTCTGATGCGAACAAGGCAGGAGCATGCTTATACTGTATACTCAGTCGTGATGGCATATGCAGGAACCATGCGAAGACACGGATGAGTTGAACCAAAGCAAGAGATCGCATTTCTTCGTCAACAAAGAACCGTAGCAGTATTGGACACGATGCTACTAAGTAACTGACCGCCATTCCTGTGAGGAGGTCAGCTGGAAGCCCGCTGCCGATTTTGGAAAAGCCGTTTGCTGAGTGCAGGAAGGGTATAATCCCCTGATCTGATATCACCGTTTTCAGGATCTGCAGGTCTGCCGGTGTTCAGGCTCTAGGGTAGGTATCGTCGACCATAGTCCTCCCGGTGTTCACGTCGCAATGACCTGTATTGCCTGCGCAACATGTGTCAGCGTTTCTGCACTTCCAGAGCCATGCGGATTGAAGAGATTTTTGACGCGGGATGGTAAGAGCAGAGACTAGCAAAAAGCAAGCTCTGAAAGCCTAGACCATGATGTGCTTGTAAGGCGCCACGGCCACCCAGGCTTCGGTGCTTCGGGGTCGGGGCGTCCTTTCGTGGATCTTTGTCATGTGTTGGATTGAATGGGTTGTTGAGTTGGACAGTTTCGGTGGGTCTTGGTTTTTCTGGTTCTCGCTTGGCTACCCCTGGTTTCACTTTGCAGCGATGGTGGTTGCTGCGGCATTTATGTAGCAGCATCTCTACTGTAACATCTATTGCACATGCCGTTGATCATGCCATGTTGTTATTCCCATTGCTACTAATGTTTCTATCACTGCTGACATGGTCGTCCTTGTCGTCAATGTACAGGTTGTTGTTGCCCTTGCCGTAAAAAAATGCAGTGGCAAATGCATCAGTCACAAAATGCTTCGAAGGCAGTTGCTCATGCCACGTCTCAAGTTATGGCAGTGACAGTGTTATCAGTTGTGGTAGTTGTAGGGATGGCGAACGTACTTAGACGTACTGGCAGCCGCAACAACATGGATAAAGATCGTCTTCTTCATCGCTCTCCTGCCGAAGCAGGGAAAATTGAGAGCCTACCGTTTGTAAAGATGGGAAGAAAGCATGTAGTGCCAGCATCAGCAAGTCTATCGGCAGTCATGCAACGAGAGCAATATGCCAGCGATAAGTTAACAGGTGACAAGGAAGCATCCCAGTGCGACGCATACATCACGCCGTGACCTACGTGGTCGAAACAGCCTGCTATTGCCGAGAACTACTTTTGCTTGCTGATTGCCTCGCTAATGTATACTAGTCTGTTCATATATATATATGTATATATTTCCTTATTTATATATATATATATATATAACACGCACACACCGACAGATGCGGTGACATGCCGACCGCACGAGCTGTATGCAACAGAGCAGGGCTGTCCTGCAGGTACGAGCTAAAGGCCGTCACGGACACAATCAGAACCACCACCATCATCATCATCATCACCACCAGCCTTGCTCGTCGTCATCCCCGCAACCACCTTCACAATCATCATGATGAGCACTGTCAGCATTGCTGCTGCTGATTGCTGCCGCCGCTGCCGTAGATTGTGACTTTTAGTTGTCACTGTCGCTGAAGTCGCATTTGTCGCCTTTCGTCGTCGCCGATGTGGACATGTAGATGGTCTTACGACGACGGCACTCATCAGTATTTGTATTACTATCTTCCTGCTCAGGGGGCACTTTCTTCACAAGCCACGGCAGCTTTTCAGGACAATTCGTTCGGCCGGTGCTCGAGCCAGGGCCGTGCCCGAGGTGCCGGGGGCCGGATTGAGTCTTCGTGGCAGTGCTGACTTGGGCTCATCTCTGCTGACACTGAGCTAGCAGGAAAACACCCTACCACAGCCTTCCACCCTCTAAGTGCATGCTTGTTTCAGCAGGGTTCCATGCCTTCCGTTCTGAGAGGCTCCTGCTCCCGAAGCATGAAAGCCGGGCGCAAAGTGGGCTTGGGGTGTCTGGATGCCTCTGCAAAAATGTTGAACGGCGCCGTTCACTGCATCCTCCTTTCTTTGTTAGTGCTTCAATGGATTGCTGCTTGACCAGTGCTTGAATTCCTAAACAGCCGTTTATACGCCATGTCAGTGAAGTGGCTTTTCTCGTGGCTGCTGAATCGCAGGTTCCCGCGGCTGAGTCCTGGGTGGAGGGCGTGATTTAAATCCCTTGTTCATAGGATACTAGGTTCCTGCACGTGCCGGAGTTGAGGCAGCTGTAAAGAAGAACAGGGCCAACTCTGGTTTCTCTCCAGTTTGCTATCGAGACTTCGATCGACAAGTATGCATTCCTGTTTGTGTATACATATATATATATATATATATATATATATATATATATAGAGAGCCTGTTTTGGGGTCGCTGTAAACCTCTCCAAGTGTCTGCCTTGATGCTCTGTAGCGCACCTTACAGATAAGGGCTGCCTGACAGTCTCACACCTTCAGGGTCCGGGCACGGACTAATTAGCCTAAAACCCTAAACTGCCTTCAGCCCTAGTACTAGACTCAACAATCCTAAGCTCCCCTAAACCATAAACCCTAAACCCTAAAGAGGAACCAAGAGTTCAGGGCTTTGCACGGAGAGCAAGCCTTCCTAGCAACAAGCTGCGCGGCGGCAGAAGAACAGCTGACCTGCTGGCGGTGCAGGACTGCATTGTTATAGCTTCTGCGCTTGCACACTTCTGATGTGCTGAGTGGACAGAAGCTGCTGTAGCATGGCTTGGGGCAGCGTCTTGATTGGTGCTGAATCTCTAGTCCTGAGTTTCGGTGTCCTTGATAAAATTCAAAACCATTCCCCAGCGCCATTTTGGGAAGGAGGAGAAGACCTGTTCCTTCAGTGCTCTTTGAACCCCGCCACGCCTCAAATCCTCATCACCTCAGCTAGCTTCCCCCACAGTGGCGGAAGCCGACATGATACCTCGACAGCCTGCCCTCTGCCATCGTCGAAATCCAGGGCAGCATTTTGCCCAGTGGTCGCAGTCCAAGACCATCCCGAACCGGGTTTAGGCCATGTTTCACGCACCATGGTTGGCAATAGCACCTATGCAAGCCAAGTACACACAAACAGATGCATGCATGCATGCATGCATGTAGGTATGGATGTATGTCGTAAGTGCTTATGAATGTATGCCTGTACCTATGAACGTACCCTTGTGTGTGAGTGTGTACGTAGGTATGTAGTTATGTATGTAGGCATACGTGCGCAGTTGTGTGTTCATGGAGTCTTGTATGTTAAGTTCGTTTTTTACGTCATCCGTTGTGATGTGCAAAGCACTGTGATGCGATGTATGTAATGAACGGAATGCAAGTCATGTATGCAAAGCATGCAATGTATGTAATGTGTGTTCGGTCTGGACGGTCTGTAGTGTCCGCAATGTCTGTGACGCTGTAGTGTGAACGTCCGTCGTGTAAATTGTGTACTACGGGTAGTCCGTGCAATGCGTGCAATGTTCGTCACGTATGAAGTGTCTGCAGTCGATGTAATCTGTTTAATGAATTGAATGTATGTAGTTTAATGTATGTACCGTATGCATATTGAAACTGATGTAGCAGTAAGTCGATTCATTTCACCTGCTTTGCTGCCATACACGTTAATGAACTCGTAAGTATAACACACACACACACACACCTAGCCTTTCACTCTTCAAGCTTAGAACATGGCCAAGGAAAATGCTTTATCCAGCTCTAACATTCCCAAAGGGCTGTGCTTGCCAAGAGCAAGTAAATTTTTCAATGGAGAAGGCAAGGTATGTGGATGGATAGATTGGGTGGGCATGGTATACGCACACAATAGATCTACTTCCGGCCGTGGGGTCTGGATTGCAGTGACGCAATGATGTGATCTGCCAGGCTTACCAGCTTGGCCGGCTCTTCGCAAATCTTCGTAAATTTAAAGGAAGCAGTACGCAGCAAAAGGGAAAAATGCGACTGGTCCGGGCGATTTGGGTTCGGTGGGCTGGCGACATTCGCGACGTTTGACACATCATGCCAATCCCGAGCCTCCCCGACAAGGTCCGTAGTCGGAGTCTCACAGCTACGGTCTTGCCGCGAGCGTCTGCTGCTCATCGTCAGCAGTTTCAAGCATATGCGAGTCCAAAAAGAGTTGGACCCCTCCCGAGGCTAGACAGACCCGGGTACAGAGTTCTAGCTGCACCTTCAGCTCCGCTATAGAACCCGAGCACCTTAGCCTTGAGAAGCCCCTTGAACCCTAAATTCTATGCGGGTGGTTGTCAAAATAAGGGTCCCTTTTTTGGTCCCTATGATCATACGGCACCTATTATTTAGGGTACCCAAAAAGGGACCATCATGTTGACAACCACCCATGCAGTAGTCACTAATCTTCCTTAGTGTAGTGGAAAGAGAACACCTCCGGACCATGGCGGTGTCCAGTCGCCCCCGGCGCCCATCGCTACCGCGACTCTCTGGCACGCGAGTTGGGGATGTTCAGTGGAGGCTTAGGGGTTTCGGTCTCAGTTCCGAGGGCGTTTTTCTTGGGGTTTCGGATTTGGAGCAGCACTCCGGCTGCAGATTGGTGTTGCGCTTAGGCTTTCGGAGCTGTATTTGTCAAAGGTTGCTCGTCGTTCTTAGTTTCGTCCTTTTGGTCGCAGTTCCAGCCGTTGGCAAATTTGCAACTTGCAAAATTCGAGTCTCGTCGCCCTCGAACTCAAAAGCTGGTGAGAAACATAATATGGAGCATCCGAAGCAGATGAAAGCCCAAAACTCCCAATCCTGAGTCCAGACTCCACAAGTTTCAAACCCGACCTCCGCCCTCAAGCCCAACATGAGCATGAGAGACTAAACTGAGGCTTAGTCCGGTGTTGCAGCGCAGCCCACGATCAGGGGGTGCCTCGGCGCGAGAGCGAGAGTGAGGCAGAGAAAGAACGAACTAGCATGTATTGGTCTTGGGTAAATTCAGGCTGACTTTCGTGAATGCACATACACACATGAACCCCTACATGTATGAACGAGTAAGCGCAAATGTGTTCGATAAAACATACATATATCTACAAGTTGACATACATATACTAGTTCAGAAGCACATGCTTGTATGCTGCTAGTGTGGGCGTGTGTACCCTGGAATGACTCCAGGAGACAGACGGTCAGACGTGTTTTCTTTCATATGACAGGTTCGGCCAGAGGGTCTAGGACCTGAAGCAGGCAAGTTTAACAGTAGATATGCGGGCGGAGGTTGCGCAAGTACTCACTCGGCGTTTGCAGTCATGCCTTCTCCAGCTGCGCACGCGAACAAGCACCCTTGACGAAAATGGGCTTTTCTTGTCTTCGGATGAACAACATCTGAGGAATCGATGTCTGAAGCGTTGCTGAACAGGCAGGTTGCAGGCGAGGTTGAAGGCGTCGTCCGCGTATTCACAGCTTCGAAGGATTCTAACATCTTGTCCAAGATTGAAGACGCTGCAGTGGATGTCGTTGCAGCATGCCGAACTCTGCAAGCCCGTCACACATCACAAACGATGCTAGGTCCGGAAGCCACGCACAGCAGTGTGGCCCGGACCTGGTATAGTCTGCATGTCGGTGTGCAAGATGAGAGATGAAGCAGATCGAGCACACCATTTCCGCATCTGCGGATGCTCTCGAACTTCTAGGATGCTCCGTGAGTGCTCTGAGGTGCCGGCTCCTCGTCGCAATCCTCGCAGCGGCTCTTGTCGCCCGGAACGCGCACCACGTTGGCAGCCAGCAGCACAGGCATCACCCCACGAGGTTTGCGCCGTTCCCCGTGGTCTCTGTCCTCCGACAGAACTGCGCCTTCTGCGCCTCTGAGCTCGCGACAAGTGCCAGGGACCTCCAAGAGCTCGTCTCAGTCACGGCTACAGACTGACAAGATCTCGCCTTCGCCGAAAGCTCCCCAGAACCGGAGATGCCAGAGCACGTCAGCACTGGAGGTGGCACATGACCAAGGGTATACCTGGCCCGCGGCCGCGCAGTGCTGGAAGGTCCTTGAGCTGATGGCACCCATGAGGGCTGCCATAGAAGCCACGACGGAGGCAAACCCGGCAAGGCAGGGCACCTCGGTGGCCCAGCCGGAGGCCGCCGAGGTGGAGAAGCTGCGCCAGCATTGTGCTGTCATGACGGCAGCTGTTGCGGAGCTACAGCAGGTGCTGAGCCAAGATACCAGGCGCGACGGGGGATGGGTGGGTGTACAGTTTGTTATGTATGTATGAATGTCTAGATGTATGTTATACGAAAATGTATATATGTGCATACTGTGCACATACACAAGTCAACGTACAACCTACCTACCTACCTACTGATACCGACCTACCGTCCTGCGGACTTACCGACTTACCGACCTACCGACCGACCAGCCTACCTACCTACCTAGAGTACCTAAATACCTTCACCTACCTTCGTACGTACATATACCTACATACATACATACCATTGCATACTGCAAAAGTGTTGAAGTAGATGCTCAAACAACCACACATGATGGCCGTCGCAGGACAGCCGAAGCCTGTGATGGTGGCACTGGCGGCTGCTTCTTGCCGAAGTCGCAGAATTCAAGTGCCAATGCTGCGACTTGGATGTGTTCAGGAGATTTGGGGTGGAGGGGGGGGAGTGTTGGATGCGAGGGGCTCGAAGAGGAATCCCCTTCCAGCATGTGGTGACTATCTCCGACTACAATTTATTGCCATGGTCAGTACTTCTGCCATCGATTTCGTATTAACGTGCATTGCAGACTTAGGACATGTTCGGCCCAACCCCCAGAGCTCCGAAACTTGTCAGCACCCACCGTCGTAAAATCCTGAACTCCGGCTGAAAGGCCCAAGCGAAGATGCGATCAGAAGCCGAAGTCCTGCAGCTAGAGGCGCGATACCATTGTCGACTGTAATTGTTATTGGAAATTGGAGTTGTTGATATTGCTACTATTTTCCTTCCCGCTCACCGCTCGTCTCATCTTCATATTTGTTGCTGGTGTTATCATGACCGCTAGGGACGCTTTTCTATGATTCTCATTGCTCTTGTTCTTTTCACGGGGTACTATGTGGCACTCATAATATACTCGCGCTTTTCGGTTGTTGGCTTTCTTGCAGAAAAGTCATGGCCCTCAGCCCTGAACCCTTAATCCTAGGCCAAGATCTTGCAATGGCGTGATCAGGAGCCCACGAAAAACAGCCACACACCCGACCACAAAGTCCGCGCATGCCCTAAGGCCGAAGACAGAAAGAAGTTCGGGGGCGCCCCAATCCGAACAGTGTCGAAGTTCCCGTCATCGTTACGCCGTTCAAATTGTCACGCAAGACCATGTTGGAGCTCGGCATTCGGCTTAAACAACTTTCTTCTACAGCCGGACCCCCACGCCAAAAGCCCAAGACCTAAAGCTTGAGCCCCAAGCTTCAAAGCAGTCGTGCCTAGCCGTTTCGAAGTTGAACACGGCTGTAGCCGAGAGTGGAGACGAGGTGCCCAGAGCTACTGCGTGGAACCGCACTCCGAGCCTCCAACGCCCCACAGCATTCGGCCGTTTTTGTCCCTTTGGAAAACCTCCTTGGCAGAGGAGACTTGCCAAAAGCTGAAGGACGAGGTCGCTAGCCTGGAGGGCCAAGGTGCCAGAGCTGACGACTTGGAGGAGGCGGGTGCTTGACTGCTTGACTTACGTGCTCTTCAGATCGATGCCTCCTTCTATTAGAAGCACCTCCTGCCCCCAGTTTGAGGAGCTCCTTGACCGGTTGGGGTGGCGATTTCAGGGCACTAGGAGCCTGAGGTCTTGGCATTGCGGCATGGAATGAGGTTTGGGACTTGAGTGCCTTTTTGCTCTGGGATGTATGTTCATGATTTTGATGTTGGGCTTGGTGTTACACCCTCAATCTCAAGCCTGTAGAAGACTCGAACACACCCGAGCCCAAAGCCCGAAGCCCAAGCCCCCAAACTGGTTAGGAACTGGTGGCTTGGAGTCTAGCTCCGCGCGCTGGGCTCAAAGCCATACATTTCAGGAAGAGTATGACAAAAAGATGTGCAACATGCAACAGGAAGTGGGCCTGGTAGTTCTACAACATTCTGATAGAAGCAACAACAGTCACGCCGCTTCCAAAATCAAGAGCGATACCGCTCCTGGTAAGCGCCCCGATAGCCGTACATAAAACAATGGTTGAATAAGTTCAAGCCATCTGGAAGTGCTGAGGAGACCATTTTAGTGGCAAGAACACCACTAGCCATGTGCAGGGCGGGGTGTGAAGATCTGTCTTTGGTAGAGGGAGCCCCCGGGCTCCAGCCCGAAGCTTGAATTTTCCAAGCTTTCAGGACCCCGTCAACAGCCCTGAGCCCCGAGCCAAGGCCAAAGACACGGAGTCAGAACAAATGATACGAGCATTCCTGGTTCGGTCTGTTGCAGTATGAGGGGTAAGACTCAGCTGGAGCCTTCAATCTTCCCCCGGGACCTTGGTTCCTCCCGGTCTCACACGAAGGAACCTTTTCGGGAGCCCTAAACTGCTGGCCGGAGGTCGCCGCCTCGCTTCGGCGGCGTGTGGCGGAGCTTCGGGCGGAAGAGGAAGGGTCACAAGTGAGCTCTGCTCGGGCTTGATTAGGTTTGCGACCATCTTCTGGGCTTGTTGCAGGTTTTGTAAAGTTGTCGGAGGTTTAGCGGCAGATACAATGCCTTTGCACCAGGATCTCCCGAAATTCCTGACGAACTAAAGCTCTCCAACCCCACTCCAGACTGAGGGCTTCGACATTGGTCGATTCTCTTGTTCACCTCCAGGTTGAAATTGAAACCCCAACACGTCTCCGTATGTCCCGAGAAAAAAGGTTCTTCACGACCTGCACCGGCAGAAGCCCAAGTCTTACACAAAGTTTGAACTTTGAACCTCACCCCGTCGCGCCGGAACCCCAACTTCCAGAACCCTGGACTCTGAAAAGTCGGGTCGCAGGCCAAAGCTGCAGCTCTCCGAAACGAATGTCGCCTATGGCTCAGACAAGTGCGAGAAGCTGGTGCTAGTTCGTGGTCAAGCGTGCGCCGAGTTCGGGGTGAGTTCTCATCGTATGTGGCATTGCTTCTCCTAGTCCTAGCCAAGGTGAGCTCCGCTTTCAGATTGCCGAGCTGGTTGCTTCCGTGGTCGACGGTGCGCCCTCCTCTCGAGCGGTCAGTAGTCGCTGAAAGCCGAGTCCTGGAGTTGCCAAGGGGTTTTGATCAGGGATCCCGGAACATGATTGAACGGCCTGCACATGCGTATGTGACCCCACACCCATCTCTGCGCACGTGTTCTGAATTTCGGAAACCGTTTTGGCATTAGCCGAGGCTTTCCGATGTTTCGCATTTTTTCGTCCAGATTGAGCGCAGAGCGCCAGTTGCATCTGGAATCTCTCACGGGCGGTCTCATGATAAGCTGCCTCTCAGGTTCGCTTTGTTGAGTCGTCAGCTATTTTGTTCTATGCTGATTGTACAGTTTCTGCCGTGACCGTCCGAAAACAGATATCGACTCCCGAGCTTCGTCCTGCCTCCGCTGTCGCGCCGCTGTCTCTACAGTCTCGCGAGATTTCAATCCCTGACTCTCGCAAGCTTGCACGTTTCTCAACCTCCGATTTCTCAATCGGGCAATGCACACATCGACCTGCTGTCAGTCTCTGCATGTTTGAGAGCTGTTCCAGACGGAGAGATCAGACACTGGCATTGCTATTGGAGAGGCTTCGAGTTTAGAGCTTCGAAGCAGCGACCTGTGCAGATCCGGCGGCTGAGAGGGAGGAGCTCAGAGCTCGACTCCAGGGCCTGTCCCAAGGAGGCCTGAGCTCTGGGGGGAATGGGGGAAGAGGCTGTCAGAGTCTTGGGAAGGGACCCTTGGGGGTAGGGTGTTCGAACTCTGTCTATATATCCGGCTTGATTGGATTATGCCATTCAGGTTTGTTTTGGGCTATTCTGGGATTGCCCGGTTTCTGGCAGTAGGAAAGATGGAAGACGAAGAGGTCCCGGTCACCCTGCAGTCTGCCTGACATCAGGGGAAGCTTCGAGGCTTCAGCCTCAGGCTGATACTCGTACTCTATCTCGTTTCACTCGATTGTTCTATGCACTTCTTCTGATGATTTCTGTCACCTCGGCCATTACCAATTCTAAGACGACGACAACTGAAATTGGGTTCTCCCTCTCCACGAGAGTCTTGAGGGTTGAGGGTTTAGAAGCTTCTTTTGCAGGCTGCTGACACAAGCTCAGCCATGGCGTCGGGAGTTTTGAGAGTCTTGAGCGCCGGAGCCGCTGCTAACCTGTAGCGGACTCGAAGAGACCAATGGGCCTACACGGGTCTTGTGTCCCAGGGTTTCAGATGAAGAGAAAAGATTTTGAACATTGAGGTGTGCTTATGTGGCAGGTTGAGATTGACTCTGGTCAATGTACCAGGGCATCTGCTTAAACTTCGCAGCATCAGGAGCAACACGTTTTTCCTCTCCATTTCTGGCCTCAGCAGAACTTGTCTGAGTATGGTAGTTTGGACAATGCAAGTTTGTGCATGTGGTTGCAGCAACAGCAGCAGCCGTAGCTACATCTGCGTCATCTAGTGAATCTATTGGCAACGTGGCTCTTCGAAGCAGCATTTGCCACCGCCGCACGGGTGGGAGTGCATGCTGCGTCTTTTGTAGAGCCAGGTGACCCCACCATTTAACCTGGAATTTCCCGTGCTCTGTTAAACACGATGGGGCTACGGTCAGAGACGTGGGACCCGAAAGCCGAGTCCTTGCAATCCGAAGCCGAAAAAGGCCTCAGCTGCGGCCGGTGGGGTCGGCACGTTGTTCACGAAATCAAGCAGCAACATTCAGATATTTCCTGCATTTGCTATAGTATATTTCGCTGAGATCAAGTGTATCGAGCGGGCAGTTCCTCCATGCGTACTTGGTCTGTGCTGTGTCTCAAGAGTTTCAAGGCTTCCAAGTGCAGCATATAGGTAATATAGAGGGCCTGCAGAGCACGTCCACATGGTTCTATGAGGGTTTCGCTCTGTACGAAGTGACGGCTCGCAGCATGAGGACAAGGAATCCATGCAGCGTGTGATCAGTACTTGCACTCGACACACAAGTTCCCGAATTGTTGAAGTCCGGCGGCATGAGGACAAGGAATCCATGCAGCGTGTGATCATTACTTGCACTCGACGCACAACTTCCCGGATTGTTGAAGTCCGGCAGCATGAGGACAAGGAGTCCATGCAGCATGTGATCATTGCTTGCACTCGACGCAGAAGTTTCCCGATTGTTGCAGTCTGAATTTGTAAGCTGACGTTCCGAATTCGATGCTCAGCGTGTCGGTGCCATGATGGAGGGACCTGCAACAAGCTTGCACTCCCTACCCTCGATTTCTGGCTCGGCAGCGCACCAAGTCGTTGTGTGTCTCGACTCAACTTGTTTGGAGCTCTCGCGTAGCAGAGTTCGATTTAGAGGCCGTCTCTTGCTGACTGTGGCACTCCAGATGCAGAGAGTCACGGAGTGTTTTGGAAGAAATTACTGTGGCGCGCGCTTCGTACGACATGCTCAGTGTTACAGATGATGCGATGCAAGCCATAGAAATCCATGCAGCTGGAATATGTTTTGGCTGATGCTGGCGAGCCAGCCTGCTACTTTCTCTCGACCCGCCACGGTTTCACCAACTTCCTGGATGCTTCGTCCGCAGTGAAGGCCTGGACTTCGAGTGTCGGCAGCTTCGTTCCTGCACCCGCGCCGCAGCGCTTCTCGCAGCAACCGTTGGGTTCTGAGCATTTGACATCGCTCTTGCTCCGCAACGTACTGACCAAGTTTGCTTTGCTTGCACCACTATAGTGCCGCTTCACTAGTTTTGCTGTTTCGAGACATTGCGCCCGTGGCTACTTCCTGAAGCAATCTTGGCTGGCAGACATCACGATGTGACGCAGTGTATGTGTGACTCTGTGTACTAAGGCAGATAGCAGAGCGTGCGCAGGGCTCCCAACTAGAGCTCTCTGCTTCAATTTCAGAGCATGCTTGAACTGCAGGGCCCAGAGCGCCACACTGCACGACCGGACTTAAAATCATGCAGCCAAGCAGCCAGGAAAACAAGTTTCTGAGGCCATATGCCGGACCATTCAGCGACCCAAACCTGACGCTGCAGGAGCGAAATGCAGCATCACGATCCAGTTAGCCCGTCAGCTTCATACCCTTGCTGAGACATTCGGCCCTGATCAGGGCTGGGATAGGTGTTCTTCGATGGAAGGGGTTCATGCCATACGAGGCAGCAGTTTACAGCTTTCGTCCTGTTGAGCCTTGAGGAGATTGCGGACAAAGCGCCCGGCCCCAGCACGAGCAAAGTCCTGCAGCTGCTCGCTTGTGGGCAAATGCAAAAGAGAGTATTGCTTTCCACCAAGTGCTGAGCGAACTGCATCAGATGTAGTCTCGTGCCACATAGCTCTCGACGCATCCTAGTTTGCTCGAGTCACACGACACAAAGTGTCCTACATGGCTCATCCACTTTTCTTCAACCGGAAAGAGCGCATCTTGCATCGTATGTATGGTGCAATAATCGTCGCCAACTCATTTGGAAAAGTAGCTGGATCTCAGCTCTTCTCGGATGCATGCCGTAAGTTCCATGCGCTGGTCTTGCACTTGTCTAGGCCAATGCACTCCAGCAGCAGATCGACGAGAATGCCGGGCTGCAAAAGGCTGGCATACACGGGTGCCTGCTGGAGCTTTTTGACAAAGCCTCTTTTGCGCAGATAGTTAAGAATCCGTTGGCAAGAAGAGCTTCGGCTTCAGGCTTAGGTTCCAAAGCCCGGGTTGCTCAGACTTGCAGGCACTTTGGCAACTACTTCTCCGGGTAAGTCCCCTATACCCGCATTTGCTTTCGCCACGAACAAGATTTTTGCCTGAGCAAACTTTCACTCCAGCTCCTCATGCAAACCATGGATAGCAATAGGGAAGCCCTGTCGCAGCATAGTTCTCAGGCCTGAGCTATACTGATGACGTTTGTTTTCATCGCCATCTCTTCTGAGATGTGTTTTAATTTTGGCCACCGCATTTCTGCAGAGGCGGAACTGCGCTCTGCGATGGAAGCCAGGCACAGAGAGGCCCCTGTTAGGTTGAATGCTACGAGCTACGACTGTGACTGTTGTTCTTTGATGATGATGGCGGTGATAGTCAAGGTGCAGGTTTTTTTGGATGGAGCTGATGACTGTCACGCGTCTGGGGATTGGAAAGCCAGTGAAGACTTAAGCGTGAGTTACTGCGGGTAGCACCAGTTGAACCTCCGAAAGTTGAACCTCAACCCAATGACCTGCCCCTGCAGGTTGAGCAGCACGCACAGTCGATTCTACGGCATGCTGTGCAATCCATCGAGGTGCTCCGCGAGCTTCAGCAAGTTGTTGCTGTATTAGGGCGTGATACCAGCAGTCGGTGTTGAGGGTGCAGGGCTTATGTTGAGGAGGGGCACATTGCCAGAGTTTCGTTGCAACCTGGACTCAAGTCCTGCAAGCATCTTGTGATGTTGGATTGGATTCTCACACATCATCACGAGGTTTTCTCGTATCTGGTCACCGGGACCCCCACTCCCCACCCAATTGGCGCACCCAATGCCCGGACCCGGACCGAATCCGGAAGCCAGAACCCGGAAGAGACCCGCCGGAACCGGAACCCGGGATCCGGCCCCCGCTAGCGCAAGAAAAGCAGTATCCACCCACCTTCATCCGAACCTAGAATGAAGAAGGGCGTGCGTCTGGAAGCTTGATTGCAGATTCCCATGCATCCACTGGCTAATCAGAATTCTTGAAGGACTGGGGGAAGAAGCTTGTTCTTTGTTCATCAGGTTGGCATAGGGTAGCCGGAGTTGATAGAAGTCTTTTTAGCTTGTGACTCATGCGACATTTGCCGTCTCGTCTCTCTGCAAAGCCGCGGACATGCATCCACAAGACTATCCACAGGCTCGAAAAGCGAGCCAGCTGCAGTTAATTGAGCGCCAGCGGGCTCAGGAGGAGGCGCAAAGGGTACCTTGTTGGGGGGCTTGTCGGACACAGACCGTGCAAATGGCCACGAGTCCATACCATGGGCTCAGCAACTTGCGATTCGAGTGTCGTTTGACGAGCATCTCGCCTCTCAGAGCATGTGAAGGGTGTCCTTGAGCACCTTTCGGGAGATTGTTTCGACTGCGATGCGAAATCCCTGCTTTTGCCACGGTTCAGCAAGTGCACCAGGAAACAAATCGACAGACTGGTCAGCACGATGTTCCCAACTCTTCCATGGAGAACTGTCTCACGACACAGCTTTGCAGATCCTTTCCACAACCTCTGCGTTTGTACGACCTGACTTTTCTCATTATGGAGTTACACCACACTTCCCCGGCCAGCATATTGAAGTTTCAGAAAGTGCGGGACCTTCATAATCTAGACACCAAGCTTTACTTCAAGACCCGATTCCTAATAACCCCTAAGAACCCTAAAGGGTTTGTCATAGGCGGCCACGCGCCACGACGCGGCGGAGGCTAAGAAGCTCATCGACCAAGAGGATGGCCCATTGGGTTCAGGGCCTGGGCCATGATGTATTGTATGTTTGCACATTTTTATATGTGACATATATTAATTAGTTAATTAGGTGTTATACACGAATGTACTAGATAGTATAACTAGATCGTACGTTTGACAGTCTGGTGAACTTGTTGTGTAATATGCAAAGGCCTTCATAGGAGTTCAGTCGGGAGGGAGTTCGAACTGGAGTGCCCAGGCACGGTTGCAGTCCACGGGTTTGGGTGGAATGCGTCGATGAATCAAGAACGGAGTGCAAGAACACCATGAATAAATGATGGGAGCCATCCCATTGATCGCTCTAGCAAGGAGGAAGGCATATGCCCTGAAGCCCGCAAACCACAAGCTGGGCAGATGCAGAGAGCTTTGGCTGCCCTGGGTGTGAGCCACACCCACCAGTGGATGGGCCCGACTACCGTGACCCCTGGCATGCAGCCGCCGTAAAACAAGATCAGGTCGATGTTTCCGCGAAACTTCGCGTCTTCAGAGTTCATTCGCCACATTGGTTGCTTGTTGCAGAGAGGTTGTCTCCTCGATTCTCCGTGTGAACCAACACGAATACGGCCTCTCAGTTTCAGTTACGTCTTGACTTTCTTCAAGACCTTCTTGCACAAGAAATGATGCGACATCGGTCCTATAATCTCGGAAACCGTCATAAACCCTGATTGAAGACGCCAGCCGCTAGCAGCTTCATGCAGGGCTTTGTGTAGAGGAACGCGAGGAATGTGTGTAACGGAAGCAGAGGCCGAACACTCGCCTCCTCAGTTGTTCAGCAGAAGCTGGTGCTTTACAAGGTTTCGCCTGCTGCCTGAGCGCTCACGGCCACTCGGAACCTAGACTGCATGCATTGACCAGCTGATTTGCAAAGCTTCTTCTCAGTGACAGGCAACTCTTCTTGTGTCTGCGTTATTTGCTTCGAAGGTAAGTGAAAATTGAATGCTTTCATAGAACGTTACAGGGATGCTTCACTGCATCAAACAAATGGCTTGGAACTGGCTGGCTATCTGTTTGCGAGACGACGCGACGGCAGCTTGCCAGGCGTCAGAGTCGTGATGTGCTTCCATCTGTCGCTGCCCTGTCTGATGCAGCTGACGCCCGAGTCTCAAGAGCTTGCATTCCCCCTAGTAGGCATCGGCAAGCGCATGAATGCAGAGCCTTGCAGCCTTCCCCTCACCGGAGTGTATGCGCTCTCCTCGTGGTGGGTTGCCGGCATCCGGCACCGACTCTCCGAGCTTGGAACTTAGCATGTGGCGGTTGGAGTGAAACACGGTTGAAAGTTAAGGGTCTGTCGCAAAGGACAGGAGATGTCACTTAGGCTTTATTCTCCATGTCCTGACTTCTTCGGCTTCTCTGTGGCGCGGTACCCTGTAGAACCGTTGGCGACTGTATCTCGACCTCGCAGCAGAGACAACCTCACCCCGATGAATTGTGCTTCAGGCCAAGGCAGTAGAGAGAAAGCACCGGGGCATTACCTGACTTGCATGTGAGAGCAGCACAACCCTGACCCCACAACTTCAAGCTGCACTTACTGCACCAAAGTGGAGTTGTGATTGGGTTTGAGGACCAGGCTTGAAGTTGCTTTCGGAATCGCTCCACTGTTTGCGAACATCCTCCGAGGCATGTCAATGTACGAGAAAGCGGCCTGTGCCCTGGAGTGGTATGTGGAGCATAGTGCAATATCGATAGTCGTGAAGAGCAGTCTGACACAGTGGTATAGGGCGCGGCCCTTGCACGGCTTGTCTCAACAGAAAGTGAGATTGAGCCGCTTACATGCAGCGCCGAGGCAGGATGATTGTGCCACGCAAGGCCAGAGATCATCTTCACGAGTCTCTCACAGACAGCGCCTCCCTTTCCCTGGTTGCCATGGTTGTGGCATTCAGGTAGCTTGAGTGTCCTTTCCCCGAATCCGAAGTTCCATGAGTCGGGGTGGAACGAGCCTACCATAGGTGCCTGCTTGAGGCAGTCTCAGCACAGACATCATCTTCCCAGCAATCCAGACTCCAAGCATGAGGGTTTCGGCATTCGCCCGTCGAAGATGTTGTGATCTCGGCACGTCTGGATGCGAGCCTCAAAACGTGTTGGGAGGTCTTGAAGCTTGGCAGCTTCATTGCGCGCGTGAAGTTGCCCACCCCCAGTCGCTTCCAAAAGCTTGTGCGAGTCGCACGTAAGCCCGCAGGCGTCTGCCGGTGGACATATCACTCTTTGTGCCATTCTCAGTTGTGCCCCATTTCACGACCTGACATGCTCACTTCCTCTGCCTCCACTTTTGCACGACAAATTGTTTGATCCTTCTCAATGCACTTCGCAACAGGGTGCCACCTTGCGAAGACAGCGACAACAACGAGCGGGATCTGTTCCGACTTTCCCTTGTTCTTGCTGAGCAGGCCGCAAGCTGCATGTGCTTTGCGAAATTCAACAAAACCTGTACAGGTTGCACCTCGAAAGGCTTGGTATGTTCAGCTCAGGCCTGAGCCTCTCGGAAGGTCATGCCAACGTGCTGAAAAGAGGAGGCTGATACTAGCACTAGTGGCATTATGCCAGGGCTCCTTGGCCTGAAGAATTACGCTAAAGAGTCCTAGGAGGATTCAATCTTCCTCGCAACAGTGTCCGAAGTGTAGTAGTTGCCCGAAAGGAGTGCCCGAGCTCCATGCACGATTGTATTCTGCGGATCCGAAGTGCGATATCTTCAAGCAGCGGCATTCTCCACACAAAGCTTTGATCAGGTCGAAGGGGTCCAGTTTCCTTGTTGCAGCTTTGGCCAGGCTCGCGGAGCTCACGGCTCATCGTCATGGAAGCACAAAAGGGGCCGGCGCGAGCATGAGCGAGCCTCCAGGTTAAGCAGGTTCTTACGTCCTGTATGTACGGAACACTCGAGGGAACATGCAGCGATGCAATGCTCCGAAGACACAAGTCAGAGTCGTCAGCAGAGGCCTGCAGGGCATGCTAGCGGCTCTTGGAGCGGAACCAGTGAGAACGACATGCCACTTTAACCAGGCAGACGATCTCATATGATTTCGTGCCACTTCTGATGATGGCTGACCTGCGACCCCTGGTGCGAACAGCCGGACTCGTGAAGCACCGCAAGAATTCGCAGATGTCTCTCCCAGCATTGGATTCCTGTGCCCATGCAGAGCAATGCTGCTCAGCTGCATGAAGTGTCCAGCTCAGACGTGGCACGACACGCGTCGAATGGCAATGCTTTCACTGGTCTGACGGACATATTGGGCGAAGAACGGTTCGAATTAGAGACGATCTTGTCGGCAATTACGTGCAGCTTCTCTTATCGCCCACCGACGTCCGGTAGGAGCGGCTATTTCGGTCTTGGAGTTACCTCCGGTTCTCCGAAAAATGCGTGCTGCAGATTTCATTTTCTTTCGCTATTCCGTGCAGGCGTGTCGACACCCGCGGCGATCTGTCAATTCCATACCCATGACTGCATTCAACCGTATTTGCTCGCTTCCTGCACTTCCTGCACTTGGCTTTGGATCGACATCCGCAGCTTTCGATGTTGCGCCGCTTGCTGTCACCATCCCCGGCAGGGGCTGTTGCCGACTCGCACCAGTTGAGTTTTTGCCTGGCAACTGAACGCATCGAGCCGGTCGCGGGTGCACCAATGAATCGCTCGTCTCCACGGTAACATCGGTGATAGCTGCAGAGTAAATCCGTGCTGGAAGTTGTTGAACCACTGTTTCAATGCTCTTCCCATCCAAATTTTCGCATTTGCCGTTGTAAGCCGTTTCATGCACCCTTGGCCAGGACGAGGCCAGGGATGGCAACCTGGTGCGAGAGCAGCGTGCAGATTTGCAGCTGCTCAGCGCTGCGAAGGAGCCAAGGACACACATCTTGCACTTTGCCTTGCCGCTACAAGGGGGCAGGACAACAGCATTTTGACAAGCGGCACCTGATCGGTCGACATTGTCTCTTAAGCAGACTCGCCGCTGTACGTAGGGCTTTGCCGACTAGCCTGAGACTGCTTGCCGGACGGTTGGTACGGCGCCACATCGCTCCTCTTCGTGGCACAAAGAGCCTTGTGCCGTCACATCGCTGTGCCTGCCGCAGTCTTGAGACTGAATTATCTTTGATGCATTATTCACTGCGTGAGCTCTGGCTTCAGATCCTAAGAAGTTGTGCAGGGCTGGCTGAAGCCGTGGATCATGAATGGGTGCGTGACAGCCTGCTGGCCGTCACATCCGCTGAAAGGCGTGTGAGGCGGCAGGGTCTGTCTTCAATGACATTCACATTTGAAGCAGATCATTCCTGTCGGCCGAGGTTTGGGTGGCTGATTGCATTCAAGTGCGGCTCGGTCGGTAGCAGCATGGCAACAAACGAATATTCAATAGTTGTGTAGCCCTGAGCTTGTTCTGTTGGTTCCTCTCCAGAAGCTGGCAGCCTGCAAGACGTGCATTGGCTTGCGACAAGCTCCAGCATAACGCCCGCCTGAACATCGTGGCTGTCTCTCTCTCTCGCGGTACTCTTTGGTGACAATGTCGCCCGCAAGAGTCACTTGCAAGAGATCCGATCGCAGAGGGGCGGCACAAGTGGCCTCCGACTATTCCAAGGCTCAATGCACGTAAAACTGCATCATCACTTGCCCATGTTGTGTTTCCGTATGGCGGATCGGGATGTCGCCCAGGAAGCTGGCAGTGCGAGTCGGGAAGAGCATTTCGAAAGGGGCTCGCGAAGGAATTCGTGCCTTTTCTTGATGCCATGTTCCTTCTAAGGTGAGGTCTCCGCATTGGCCAAGATGCTGCAGATGGCATGGTTTGCATGTTTGGGCTGACTTGCTGCAGTCCGCGGTGGCCTTTCTGCCAGAAGTCTTTGTGGTAGGTTTTAAAACTGAGCAAGCAAAGCCAAGTGTAAGATCCCCAAAACGCAGCTCGCACACAGTCCGCATTGCTGACTTGGCTCGTTTGAGGAGCAGTGTCTTCCGACACCCTTTGCCAGATGCGGCGCAGAAAGATCGCGAAGACCTGTGGGTAGCCTTACTGGGCTTACTTCCATGAACTAAGTACGCTTTTTAAGATTGACGGAGACCTGCATACCGCTGTAACAAGGGTTGATGGAGAAGCATTCAAGAGAGGCCAGAAAGGCCAGAGTGCAAAGTCAAGATCGCGGGCTTAGAGTTTCGGGTTTAAGCTTCAGGTTTCGGGCATAAGCCCCCGGCCCAAAAGCACTCGACTGCGAACTCGGTCCCTTCGTGTTTTCGGGGCTGTTCTTGGCTGAGTCACTGCTCGTTTGAGGCGACTCTGTGCAGATCCAACCAAACCGGGATGCCTCCGTCTTCCCGACCGCGTTGCCAAGACAAGAGCATCTTGCTTGACGTCGTTCTTCTGATGCCAACGCTAAGTTGTTAATGAAATCGTTGGATTCTTTGGATTCTTGTCTGCAGCGACGTGCAAAGTGCCTTCTTGTGTAGACAGGATTAGAAGGCATCGTCAGATTTT